GATTGGGTACAAGTTATTCTGTAAGTTATTCCACCATAAATATGAGGTTATATATCCCATCACTAAGGTATAAATGGCGGGATAAATAATATCACGATTGCCTAATATCTCCAACCAAACACTGGATAGAATAGTCTTGCATTTTATCCCTAGGATTGTTATGCCTTATACCTCACATCAAATGACTCCGTAGAGTTATAAGATGGGTGATCTTGAATCGAAGTCAAAAGTAGTTGCGTATATTTGATACATGTAGTAGCTATTTTGGATATTAAAATTATGTTATTTGACACATGTAGTAGCAATTTGGATATTAAATACGAGATGATTTGCTAACGATAAGTATCAAAAGTATAACTAAGTGTACATCAGAACAAAATTCAATGGTGAGGAAAAGTAAATAGGAGATGATTTGCTAACGACAAGTATCAAAAGTATAACTAAGGGTGAAACCGAACAAATTTTTAATGAAGAGGTAAAATTAATATTTTTTTTGGGCTCTATACGAAGAGAGCGAATCGATGGATTTTTTTTACTTCCTTTGTTCACTTCTACTTGTTCATAACGAATTGTTTCATAGTGAAATCTACATATTTTATCAAGATACTCGTATTAATTGATGTATAGTTTTTAATGAACCGGAAAATATGATTTGAAATGAGTAGTTAATGTAATCGATAAAACATTCTTTTGATATGTTATAAAAATTCATTTTTTATTATAATAAACATATGAAGGAAAGACAGTTTTATAATTGGTTGTTTGGAATTTTAGGAGTCAATATAAATTTGAATATTAAAATTACAAAAAAAAAAAAAAACATTGTTTAGCAAATAAGTAATGAAGAAATTTCGAGGTTGGAGGTATCCACAAATATATTCTCATGAAGCACGTCATAATCCAGTCAACACTTCACATCATTTCTGAGCTGTCCTATAAAAAAAAGTTGAAAACTTCACCACTTTTTTCTGTTTTTTTTTTAAAAAAAATAAAAATTGATGTTCGATATTTTTATTAATATTTGACTATTTTGAATTTATCTATCAATAAATTTTAAATATTAAAATTTGAATCCGAAATGTCTGATTAAATGAGAAACAACTTATTCATTGTATCAATATCTTTTGAAGTTTCGGTGTTTCATCACTTTTTTTATGTTTCTTTTTTTCTTAATGATAACTTTCTTGCTTTGGTGGCCTATTAAAGTGCTTAAATTGCTTAGTCAAAGGATTGTGAACTCAATTATTTTTTATTTTTTGGTGAACTCAATCTGTTGTTAGTTTTTTTTTGAATTCATAGTATTTTGCCAGTTTTTTTAGCACTTTACTAGTCTTTTTTTTTAAAATAGATTTGACCAATCAACATCAAATTTTATTGGTTGTGGTTTTTTTGTTTTTTTTTTTTTTTTTGTGAGTTGGGTATATCTGGTGAGTGGCTACAATTTTATCTAGAGATGTCAAATCCTCCTCCTTAGGACTTTATTCAGGGTTGGTAGGAGTTTTATAACTATTGAAAGTTACAAAGTAAACAAAAATTATGATAGATTAAAAGTTGAGTCGAACTCGGAATTTAAATTCTAAATTTATCTAAGTTATTGAGTTCGCAGTTAAATATTATTACATGTTAAATAGTTTTTATAAAAATATAATATCTACCTACACGAGTTTGGTCCGGAGATATGGAGGATAGGATTCAATGGAAGTATAATTTTTTTTATTGTTTAGAGAATTAGATCATGAGTTTACGCAAAAGCTTCTAAATTTATTCATAAGTCGAATAGAATGGTTTAGCTTCACCCTTAGTCACACGTGGAGTCAAGTTTTCTGCAATCAAGAGTCGAAACTTTGATAACTCGAATTTTTATATTAGTGTAGATATTTTTCGTAAGTCCACTGATTGATCGACGCCTTCATATATTTATCACTCGAATTTTTAAATTCACTACATTGAATATTCATATTTTAATTTAATGATGAATAATCATATGTTTTGAATGTTTCGTAAATAGTCGATAACATTGAAGAATATTCAAAAATAGAAGGGAGTAAAATCTTGAAGTAAAAAGTATTAACTAGTCATCTAATTCAGTAGTTAAAATTTGGAGCTATGAACAAACTAATTTAGTACTCCCTTTATCTTAATTTTATATAATATTTATTTTTTTAATCGATTTAAAATATAAAAATATATTGTTATTTAATTTAACTTTAAAATATTATTATACTTTATTAAGATGATTTATAGTTATATTCATATTTATGACTTATTTTCTTTCATAAATTTCAGAAATCTACCTTATTTTTTAAAAAAAGTAAGTCAAGTCAAATATTCGAACAATATCTAATAAATTGAGATGGAAGAAGTATTACTTCCTCTATCCTAATTTATATAACTCGACTTTTTTTTTAAGTTACATATTTCTAAATATAGTAATTGAATTTTAAAACATGTACTTATTAAAGATATTTATCTTCGTTTTTTAAAAAAGAATGACCATTTTTTTAGTCTGTTTAAAAAAGAATTGTCTTTTTTTTTTGTAACAACTTTTCACGTGGCATGTTTAAAATCACAAGATTACAGGGAAATTTTGTACATTTGACATAACTTTAATTTAGAACCAGATGATCAAAAGTCTTTTTTATTTTCTTAAATTTCGTGACAAGTTAAACTAGATTATTCTTTATGAAACAGAAGAATTATTACACAATACTTATGTCTAGTTTTAATCACAAGTTTTCAAGAAAAAAAAATTCTAATATATTGTATCAAATCAAATAACATCAAGTAAATTGAAACGAAAAGTGTATTACTCCCTCTGTTTGGTTTTAAAAAGAATGACCTTTTCTTTATAACGACTTTCCACGTGGCATGTTAAGGCCATAAAATCAGAGGGTAATTTTGTACATTTGACTTAATTTTAATTTAGGACTATAAAATTCAAAAGTATTCTTTATACGCATAAACTCCGTATCAAGTCAAACTAGGTCATTCTTTATAAAACGGAGCGTGTATTATTCTAAGAATATCCTTTTGACAATTGTGGGTTAGGTAGGTAGCACACGAGTGGTCTTTTTTGTCCTGACCTGACCGCCGTTTGAATTTTTTCTTATTGGATAATTATTATATTACTTTAACAGCCGACTTATTTAAAGTTTTTACTTTTTATGATATATCTTAAAATTCGCATAATATTATTTATTGATATTCTCCTCACAAAAAAGATTTTTAGCGATAATTAATTAACAAAATAACTTAGTTGTCCATGAATATATTTTTTTAAATGCAAATTTATTAGTGAAAATTATATTTTAGTATTTTTTATAAATATCACGAAAGTCTATAATAATAATTAGCTAATATTGATAAAGATTTTAACCGTGAATTAAAAATATTTAGTAATTAAAATATATTTTTTCTTTTTTTCCCAATCATATACTAAATATATCATAATATTAGTATGATTATAATAAATTATCATTAAGAAAGAACAATATGAAAAGTATAAATTAGTTATTTTTTTAGTACCAATTAAAATAGGATTTTTTTTTTAAAAAAAAATAACATTAATTGGGACGGATATTATTATTTATTGGATCCTCAATGAGAAAGTGGTCCCCAGCAAGTGACGAGAGCAGTGACAAAATCATATGCACACGTGGGCGCATCTTTACAGGTGTTGTTCTCTCATTGGATGTTACTCTTCTATTGAGTCAATGGCTGCGGTCAATCTAAAAGCAGTGAGGGTCCCACACACCCACTAGCTTAGACTCTTGATCACCAAGTAACTTTTTCTTAAAAGTACTCCCACCCCACCCCAACCCCCACACCCCCAACCCCTCACCCCACTTAATGATTATGAAATAAAATAATTATTTCGTTCGTTTAAAAAATGATAAATTAGTTTGACTTAGAACAGAGTTTACGAAAAGAAAAAATACTATTTAATCGTTATGTTAAATGTATCTAAATGTCCTTTAATCTCGTGATCTTAAACATGTTATGTAGAAAGTTAAAATTAAAATATTGTCCAAAAAGAAAAGGAATCATTCTTTTTTAAACATACTAAAAAGGAAATATAATTTTTCTTTTTGAAACGGAGAGAGTATATTTTTTTATAAAAAATTATGTGATCTCATTTGACTAGATATAAATAATAATAATATATTGTAATTTTTCATGTTAGATTCTTAAATGAAGTAAAAATATTATTAACCTTTCTGTATTAATATTCGATTTTTGAATCTTTATCGTAACAAGGGTAAAATTGTGTCATCTTGACACATTTTTTTTTTATCTCTGTTCAAATTATTTCAGTCTATCTTTCCTTTTTTTATATATATTTTGTTACATAAGCTATTTCCAAGTTGTAAAACTTCGTTATCAAGCATATCTTTCATAGTATATTCACACATCTATTAGAATATACTCATCTCTACTATTTTTATCTTTTAAACGTAGATATTCTTGAATATACTACATGAACAAAGTTGGTCTAGATTTAATTCAACAGTCACTCCATTTAAAAAAGAAGAAGATTTTACTTTTCTTTTTAATCGCCTCTAAAATGACCAATTTTCTTTTTAGCAACATTTTCGTTTCGGCTTTTTACTTGACAACTGACATGTTTAACTCACAAGATTAACTATTAATTTGATATATTTGACACAATTTTAATTTATATTAATTCAAATTAGATCATTCACATAATTTTAAAAAAAAATATCTTACCAAAAAGCCTCAATACTTGAATTTTATTGAATTATCAAACATATTATAGCAATACATATATATACAAAAATATATTATTAAATACTTTATACTAATTTATTATTGTCGACATAATAACGGTGGTCCTGTTATTGCCTGGTTTCTGCTGTCAAACTCTACAGCACGTTTTATTTTATATTATTATACATACGACTAGTTTCAATCCACCACGTGCAAATTTACCCCCTATTTTTTCATCTATATATACACTTCAAACCCATCATTATTTTTTTGTCAAAGAAACTGAAACTAACACAAAGCAGGAGCAGGAGCAGCAACAAACAGAGAGAAGAAAACAGAGGAAGATAAGAGGAAAATTTATCGAATTCGAATCGAGAGAAAAGGGGAAGTGAAGTTGCGAAGAGTGAGAATTTCAAAGGAAATGAACAAAGGAGCAAACGGAAATCAGCAATTGGAGTTACCGGCGGGATTCAGATTCCATCCGACAGACGACGAATTGGTGCAGCACTATCTCTGCAGGAAATGCGCCGGACAGTCGATTGCTGTATCAATTATAGCTGAAATTGATCTTTACAAGTTTGATCCATGGCAGTTGCCTGGTAATTTTTGACTCTTCCTCCAATTTTTCATAGCTTGCAAAGTCTAGGTCAAAAAAAAAATCGAAACAGATTAAGCTTCGCGTTTGATCACAGTTTTTGGATCTGTTCCGCCATGGAATTTGAAAATCAGATCAAGTTCCTTAAAACAAGTTTTTCGACTTATAGCATAGCAACACAACTTCAAATCTCAAAAATCACAATTTCAAAAACTCATAGATTTCAACTTCTATATTCAAACAGGAGCTAAATTTCGAATTTTAAAAAATTATCTTCAAATATCCGTAAAAGTTAATCTTCGAACATTTTTAAGTTCCTAAAACTGTTTGGTTCTTTTTCTGAACTTTATTTTTTGTTGGTAATTGCAGAGAAGGCTTTGTACGGTGAAAAAGAGTGGTATTTTTTCTCACCAAGGGATAGAAAATATCCGAACGGTTCACGGCCGAACCGAGCAGCAGGAACCGGTTATTGGAAGGCAACCGGAGCTGATAAACCGGTGGGAAAACCCAAAACCTTAGGGATAAAGAAGGCACTTGTGTTCTATGCCGGAAAAGCACCCAGAGGTATAAAAACAAATTGGATTATGCACGAGTACCGCCTCGCCAACGTGGACCGCTCTGCTGGCAAGAACAATAACTTGAGGGTAAGTCCTTCTTCAGCTTTAATTTTTTATTTTCGGAGATGAGATTCAAGATTCGAGTAATATAGTATGGTAAAATTACTGAGTTTACGTGAACTATACTCACATCTCTAATAGTGATATCTCCTAAGATTTACAATGTTTCAAATGAAAAATAGTGGAAGATTTCACTTTAATTATCAACAATTAGGTGTGGCACCCATTTAACATATAGTAATAAGTAAAATAAAATGGTCATTATATTCTGTAACTTATGAGTGCAAAATACAATTTGTAAATTGTTTATTGATTATGTGATTTGACATTATTGCAGCTTGATGATTGGGTATTGTGTCGAATATACAACAAGAAAGGCACACTTGAGAAGCATTACAATGTGGACAACAAGGAAACTACAAGCTTTGGAGAATTTGATGAAGAAATAAAACCAAAAATATTGCCCACACAATTAGCACCGATGCCACCACGGCCTCGATCGACACCAGCAAACGACTACTTTTATTTCGAGTCATCAGAGTCGATGACTAGAATGCACACGACAAACTCGAGCTCTGGCTCAGAGCATGTCTTGTCGCCATGTGACAAGGAGGTTCAGAGCGCGCCCAAATGGGACGAAGACCACAGAAACACCCTTGATTTTCAGCTAAACTATTTGGATGGTTTACTAAATGAACCATTTGAAACCCAAATGCAGCAGCAAATTTGCAACTTTGACCAGTTCAACAATTTCCAAGACATGTTCCTATACATGCAAAAACCTTACTAAAATTGTATAAATTCATTGGATCTAAATTGAGTGTGATCCATGACATTTTCTTTGTTCTTTGGTGGTGTAGGTCAACTTTTTATTAAGTAGTTTAGAGAAGTACAAAATGCTAGTCAAATTTGGTGGGCTACAGCACAAATGAGCCTTGATAAGCATAGCCAAAGAGTCGTATAGAAGGGCTTATTATTATTGTAAGGTATGTAAAAACAAATGAAAATTTGTTAATATCAAGTTATCATTCTTCAAATCTCTGTGATTATGACTCTCCTACACTGGTTCAAATAGAAATTAGCATATTTAAGAGCTCAGGGTTCAGGGGCAAAGTTATCGACATCGATGTGTCTGATTCATGTAGGCATGAGAGCTAAAACTTTCTATTGTAAGATCCACAATAAGACAGTCGACTTGGGTGAAAACAATAGGAAAAAAGCCTAACAAATCATCAAGTTGAGTTGTTAACACTAAACAGTGACGAAGACTCTTTCCTACATACAACATAGATGAATGTAACAAATAACAAGGCAAAACATCTTTAACCTAGCAGTTAGTAAGATTTCGATTACCTCATATAAGAACTTCGCATCGTCCTTGATATAAAATTTAAAAGAGCAAGAAACGAAATGAAATTCCTTACGTAAGGAGGAGTGTGGCTGCGCCTCGTTTCATCATCATATGTTAGCAGACACTTATCCTTTCCAGCTTCCGCTACATACTAGTGAGTGCTGACTCCTCGGTAACTGTCAACGCACCTCCAAATGGACTGCAAGCCAGTATGTACCTGGAGTTTCTCCAAGTGTGTCCTTTAATTAAGTGTCAATCGCCTCCATATGTCGAACATTACATGATTGCAATATCATCCTAGTCTCGAGACAATCCAAACACTAACCTGTAAACTGTAATCAAGTTGCTGGTTATTGTCTCTCCTGTTGATTCTGTCTCTTTTAAATCAGGATGTCCTCCTCTACAACTGGGGAAGTGGAGCTTTGGGTTTCAGTTATGGGCCTCTTTGAACAGTTTGGATTCCTTTGGGGTCTTTGATCCAGTTTCACACTGTCTTTCCTATCTCTTTTTCACATTGAAGGACATAATGGATATGCAATTTGATATGTATGACTACCTTGCAAAACAAGACGTAACACTTTGAGTAGGGACTGAAATTATGTACGAGATATGTCTGTCTGCACTTGTTATACCATTTTCTGTAGTCGAAAGGAAGTAGACAACAACAAAAACATACCCAATGTAGTATCCAGACCTCAGTTTGGAAAGGAAAATACGGAAATGAAAGTAGTAACAACGATTGTATAGAGCGCTAGGGTCGAAAGGAAGTAGACATGATGAACTTTTCAACGTCCAATTTTCATAGTAACGTCCACGAAGGCATCAAGATGAGAATAATTAATGAGCACACTAAAAAAAACTTCCAGTATAACAGAAAAAACAAACACAGATTTACTAATGTCCAAATAGTCATTATCATTATGACGAAAACCAAAAGTTGCAAGAAGCTTACATATTACTAATATCTACAGAGTCCTACCCAAAATTTCTTCTTGCATTTTTGAAACTATTCATCGTCACTTTCCGATTAATATATGCTCTCATCATATATCCAGAGATTGTCGAAACCACAGAAATCACCTAAAAGAGATCCATACTTATCAATGATTGGTACACCCAATTCCAGCGAAAATTTGACTTCCCGGCCATCTGGAAGTTGGACCCATTTTCCCATTGACGAATCTGTGTCTTCTTGACTTCCTTGCTTCTCCCATGTACTAAAATCAACCGGCATTTTGCTTTGCAACTCGGACTCCTTTGATCTCTGAACATCGAATTTCATGTACTGATTAGCATGGAAAGTTTCTTCAGCAGCTGATTCGGGCAGAAATCCTTCAAAATTTACAACTAATTTCTCTTTCTCAGCTTGCTTCTCTGCAGTACTAAAATCAACAGGCATATTGCTTTGCAACTTGGTCTCTTTTGATCTCTGAACGTCGAATTTCATATACTGATTAGCATGGAAAGTAACTTCAGCGGCTGATTCTGACTGAAATGCTTCACAATTTACAACTAATTTCTCTTTCCCAGCTTGCTTCTCCCCTGTACTAAAATCAACCGGCATATTGCTTTGCAACTCGGCCTCTTTTGATCTCTGAACGCCGACTTTCATATACAGATTAGCATGGAAAGTTTCTCCAGCAACTGATTCAGGCTGAAATCCTTCACAATTTACAGCTATTTTCTCTTTCCCAACTTGCTTCTCCCTTGCATTTAAATGAATTTTCTTACTACATTTCTTCTTTGCCTTGACTATTTCCCGAAACTCTAGCTTCTTAGATTGATAAGCTAGGGAAGCCTCTTCATACGTGCCAAAAGTCCCCAACCAAATCTTTTTCTTACTAATGGGGTTTATAATCTCAGATGTATATTTCCCCCACTGGTTCTTGCGAACCCCAATGATACGCGTTGTTTTGGGAGAATCCATTTTTTTATTTCTACCCCCACTAGACAATGATGCCCCAACAGATGATTCAGGCTTAGTTTGATCACAATTATTTGGTTTATCCTCCTTATATCCCTGAGTTAACATATCAAACTCAGACTTCTTGGATAAATAAGCTTGTGAAGCCTCTTCAATAGTGTTGAAAGTACCTAACCATACTTGCTTATGCTTAATCGGGTCTCTAATTTCAGCACTATATCTCCCATTCTTTTGCTTTCGGATTCCAAGTAAGCCTGACTTAGCTTTAGGATTTCTTTTCATAGTATTACACCTATCAGCTGATTTAGACAATGAACATGATGTTTGTTTACAAGATTCTAGATTCATGACATTTATTGGTTTGTTAGATGCATGCATGTTAGAGTTAAAGCCTTTGCATACCTGCTTTTTCTTGAAAGTTTTTTTTCTCAATTTCCCCATGTTATGCCATTCAGCTCCAAGTAACATGCTTTTGTGACTGAAAGATATCTCCTGAATAAGGGGCTTTTTCCCATGATCAGCATCAGTGGAACCGGCAGCAGCATTAGCAGTTTTGTTAGTCGAATTTGAGCTTGGCATTTCATCAAGCATGTGGCGGGCAGTAGAAAATTCGCATTGCTTAGCTAAATAAGCCTCGGAAGCTTCTTCAGCAGTGTTGAATGTACCCAAACAAACCCGTTTTTTCGTAATCGGGTCCCATTTTTCAGCAACATACTCACCTCGTTTCCTCTTCCGAACCCCAGAAAAATTTGCTGCATTCTGCAAACCCAAAACTATACTGTCACTCCTTTCAGCAGCAGGAACACTTTTGTTAGTGGAATTTGAGCTTGGCATTTTATCATACATGTGGTGAGCAGAAACAGAGCTTCGATTTTCTTCTGCATTTGCTCCTGCAGATTCCATGGCAAATCACTATGTACAAGAACAATGCATGGGATTGAAGGGTGAGATGGAAAAGGGGAATTGGAATTGGGGATGAGCATGTTTGAGAGTATTAATGGTGGAATTTCCATTGACACTTGTCCTGAGAATTGACACATTTAACAGTGAGATGATGACAACTGTTCTTGAGAGGTAGAAATGTATAACTTCGCAATTTTTGATGTTTTAACACAGAGTAGTAGTTAATTATGAACAATAAATTCGGTGTAATTTCACGTCGGAAGAGAATACAGTATAGACGAATTTACCCCTATGGTGAAGGTGGAAAGACTGTTTTTCAGGATAGATGTCGAAAGAGAATAGAGTATTGACAAATTTACTCCTACACAATGTAGATGGGGAGTGACAAATTTACCCCTACACAATGTAGATGGAGAGTTTGTTTCATGTAAAAATCACACAATTATCATACTGTTAAGAGCTAATTACGTCATATTTTTATTCTTTTTCAAATTACAAAAAAAATAATAATTAAAATTTAGGGATTTCGAACACATCATTAAACGTCTATGATATATTGTGTCTCGATACATTACCTTTGTTGATACAAGACATACCTATCCAAATGAATCACTCAATATTTTGATACATTGCGTCTCGATACGTTGCTTAATGTTCCGATACATTCACATTTCGATACATTATATTTGTTAATACAAGGTACACCAACAATGATATATCTCGTACCGATACATGAATGATATGTCCAAAAATAGTAGAGAGAAGAACATAGGATTTTTTTTCAAATGGTATGAAATTTTAAAAAATAGGGAAAAGGGTCTGATATACCTCTCAACTTTGTCATTTAGAGCTGATATATCCCTCGTAATAAAAGTGGTTCATATATGCCCTTATCGTTATACAAACGGCTCACATATACCCCTGCCGTTAGAAAATGGCTCACATATACCCTTCATTTAACGAAAGTTAAAAAATTAGTTTTAAATTTATATTTGTTACTTCTAATTTTTTTTTAAAAAAAATATTTAGGGATATATATGATTCTTCTATCAAAGTTCAAGGTATATTTTAATTTTTTCATACAAAAATTATTTTTTGACTTCTTTTATTATAATAATTTGAGTTTCTTATTCTTATTTTGTTTTTTTCTTTCATTCCTTAGTTTAAATAAAAAAAATTCAAATATTTTTTTTGTGTGTATTGTAATTTAATTTCGTATTCGAAGAAAAAATTGGTCATCTACAATAAGTTTTACAAGAATATTAGTGAAACATAAATAAATTTGATTATCAAAATAATAATTATAAATTAGTCATCGAAACAAAAAAAAAAAGTAAAAAAAAAATATGTTTGACGAGGATTAAATTTACTCATATGAGATTATATTTTTTATAAAAAAATAATAAAAATTTAGATTAAAATTATTATTTTTTTCATTTCCGTTAGAGGAAAAAGGGTATATGTAAGTCATTTGTTTACAAGTAGGGGTATATATGAGACACTTTTATAACGATGGGTATATCAGCTCTAAATGACAAAGTTGAGGGGTATATCAGACCCTTTTCCCTTGTTAATAAGTTACCTATTTAAATAATTTTTACTTATTTTATATCTCTATCTATACAAATAAAAGATAAAATAAGCCATGCATGATGAATAACTAAACTCTCATCAATTCTCGCACAAAATAATACAAAATGTCTCGTAATTAAATTTATTATTAATACCTGCGTAACTCTAGTAAGTTATAAAAAGAATTATTTTGTTTTAAGGAGATGTATGCGCTGTTCTCTGTATTCTCTTTGGAAAATGTTCTGATTTTTCTTTGATCGAAACGTATAAATTTGATTTTAGATCTGCAAATCAAATCAGTATTTAGATGAATCTGAATAATCGAAGATCTCTAGCTCGTTCTCGTGCTCAGGCTCGATTTCAGGCTAAATGGGTTGAAGTATCGCCGGAGATGTTGCCGTAGCCATAGAGTCTGGTTATTAGTGGAATCTAATTCCATCCGGTGGTCGTCAAAGGGATGTTAACACAATGTAAAGATTTTCTTTTGTAAAAAAAAAATGTTTTCGTAGAAAATATTTTATTGAAAAACAAGTAATTTTCATCCATATTCTCGTTGTTTGATTGGTTAATTAAATTTCAAAAATTCATCAAATCTCCTCAAGTAGTATTTAAACTTATGACCAATCGGTTAACAACTGATAGCTCTACCACTAAACTATTAAAGAAGTAAGGAATAACATGAGACTCGATTTCATAGAGTTAAATACCCGTTCCAACCCTTGATCAATCTGAGCTCGAAATGACTGGTTGCTGCCACTACAACAAAAACAAATTTTTAGCGGTAATAAATATTGGCTTTAATAAAGAGTGCTAAAGAGTTTAGAGACATATACAAAGAATGCTAATTGTTGCCGCTAATGATCATTTTTGATGCAGTAATACTCACATGAATTGGATAATAACTGATGTTGTCAAGAGAAAATAAGTTTGTCTTTCACTAAATGATGCAATTTTAGCTGTTATTCCTGTTTGTGTAAACGTCATTCATTTTTCCAGTCATCTAGACGTGTTGTATGCATTTTTATCATAAATTTATTTGATATTGCACGAGGATTATACGCAAAAAATATCTCTAAAGACGCAGACCTTGGAGGCGAATTCTCAATATCGAATCAATTACTTCGATCCTTATGTTGCAAATGATGGTCAGAGAGCCCATGGCCTTGCAAGTGATCAATGAAAGTCTATGCTTTTTATTTCACATTTTTCACTTGCAATTTGAAATTAAGAAAAATGATACTCTCATTTTTCATGTTCTGTTTGATTCGTTTCATTTTTCAAATTTCTTATGTGGCGGCGTACACAACAACAAGGAAGCTTATGGAAATTAAATCTTGAACATGAGTTTTGTTGGAAGTTAACTTCCCTGTAGGGAATCTTCCTTTTTACTTGTCATTTTAGTTCTTTCTAAAATTCCGTTTTATATTGAAATTTGGAACTAAGAGATGACAATGGAAGCTACTTCCTACAAAACTACTTCTGGGCCGGAGGAGAGTGACGAGGAGGGAACATTTGAAGTACACGATAGGGACGTGCCAAAGGAGGATGTTGTAGAGGAGGTGGTGGTTACAGAGAAGCAAAACTACGTTATTAGACACAACGAGAATGAGGTAATTTTATTCTCGTAGTTTAAATCTCTTAAGTTACTAATGATCTCGTGTTTTGTATATATAGATGATCTCTTCTGTTTTGTTTAAAGTTGATGAGATTTATAAACGTCTCAAGTTACTAACAGTTGCTCGTGTGTTTTGTTCTAAGATCTCTTGTGGATTGAGTTCTGGTGCTAAACTTGATGAACTTCTAGCACAAGTTGAGGAAAGATTAGAGAAAATGGAATCTCAACGAGAAAAGATGGAGACATTGTTGGTTGATATTAACGAAAAATTGAACTATTTAGTGAAGATGGAGGATGAATTTGGGTTAATTTTAAGAACGTTTATATCAAATCATACTAAATCATAAACTAAAGCGAGAATGTGTTTGTCACAGCCGGAATCTGGATGAGGTTTGATACCATAACTTGATCAAACAAATCGACTTTACCAGATTATACAAAGCGAGAATGTGTTTGTCACACCTCGAATCTGGATGAGGTGGACCGAGAGAAATGCAAAAGAGAAATGGTAGGGAAATATCTGTACTTGTATGATTATGAGGGTATATGACGAAAATATATGTATTTGTATTAGTAAATACAGTGTTCACTCGCTTTATCCAAACACAAACGCCACTTATACATTTGTGTTTGTATAAATTGAGAGAGGCGAGCGAGATTTCTAGGTAGAAATGCGAATGACAAAGTGTTTGCTACGAATTAAAATTAAATGAAACTGTGATTATAATATTTATTTTGAAAAAAACGATATAGAGAGAATTGATATACAAATATTTTATTTCGATTTAATTGTATACAAATTCAAATATACAATTATCTAACCGATATACATATACAATCATTGCACTTTTATACTAACGAGATGCCTGTTTGCATTTATACAAATTTGATATTTTTTATGGAGAGTAAATAACAAAACCGTAGCTATAGAGCGCTAATATGATTTTTATATTTACTAAACCTAAACTTTACTCTTTTTTATATATAAAAAGTAATTTTTTCATAACCTTTTGAAATAATTACCATTACCTAAAGTGACTTTTATGGTGTTATATATACAAACTTTATTTACTTTAGTGTATAAAGATTATTAATTGAGACACCAATGAAAAATTTACTGTTATTTTATGTATATATTATACACATACATCATTTAAGAGTTTTTTTACCTTCCAGGTTAAGGAATAAAAAGTTGATCAATTGAGATGGATACTCGGATAGGTCTATTAAAAGGGACAAGTAGTGTGTTGTTAATTAGGTAAAAATTCTTTAAATTTTAAAAATTAGGTAGAATTGACAAAAAAAAAATATTAGGTTAAAAGATATTTTTATAATAGTCTTAAACTTTTAATTTTTACATTTTAATTTTACAATTGTCATAATTGTCGAAATAACTTCTTTAATCGTTTGATAACTATCATAGTTATCGAAATAACTTCTTTAGTCGATTGACACTTCAACAGATGTCCAAACAACTTTAAAAGTTGTCCAAATAACTTCAGTGCAGATAACTACGAAAAATGTTAGTTAATTTAGTACTTTTATTAATATTAAAAATAAAAAAGTAAAGAAAAATAAAAGGGCCCACTTGTCCTTTTTTTTGATTATAAACTTTTGAAAGGCACTATGAGCTCATTTTTTCTGGATACTCACGGTGGTGAAGGTATCAACCCAGTGGTTCCCGCCGGAGAAGCCTCCGGAGGTATTTTTATTTTCCAATTTCAACTTGTATATGTATTTTTTCCTCTTTTGTCAATGATTTTACACTTCTGATCAAGCTTGTTGTATAGGGTTTGCCTAGTACGATTTATCGATTTGCGATGTATTTTACTGGTGCGAGGTTTATCCTGTGCTATCTAAGAGTAGCAGCAAGTGTGTGTTCCTTGTTATAAAAAAAGCGAAAATCATAAACCCCTAAATCCTTGGTCTAGTGATAAGAGTGAATTATTTGTGATGTATGGATTAGAGGCACATAACACGTTCGAACCCTGTTATAAAGGTGGGCTCATTATTTGCTTAGAGTAATTCTACTAGTGTTGGCTTGAGAGAGTAGGATGTACGCAGACGTTACCCTATCTTTGTGGGGTAGATAGATCCTCGGCTCAAAAGAAGTTATTCAACGCAGAATGCACTTACGTATGGTAATCAAAATTTTGTGTGGGGGTTCCTACTTTTATAATAGTACAGATTAAAAGGATGGAAATATTAGTATGTAACGAAGAACCCAATCAATACCCTAGTGTAAAGTGGGAAACTTAGCTTTCTTAGACAAGTATATTCGGAGGGTAATTAAAAAATGTATTAATATACCCGAAATATCTAACACTGTTCGAAAATTTGCCTAAAATTCTAATGTTGTAACCAATCAAGTTCTGTAATATTTGTGTTATCCTCATTTTTTGTTTTATTTGTAGCTTATTTAGATTTTGTAACTCAGACGCGAAATGGCGATGCAGCTGATTGGCAAGAAGAGGTTTACCAACAGGTATTGTCTGCAATGATGTTTTTATTTACGCGAGATTTTGAAAATTGAGGAAATTACATATGTGAATTTTGATTAATTGCCTCGTTATAACATTATTATATATAGCTGAATCTTGTGAAATATTTCCTATATGATAAAATAGAGTAATAGAGGAGGTTTACCATATTGAGTGTTTACTACTAAATTTGTGGTCATACCCTTCCCTGCAAGGTGCTTTATGTATCCCATTTTTAGAGGAGATAGAAAATTGAGCCTGTTACTTGGTAATTTGTTAGAAATTCGTATATTCTCAATTGAGAACTACTTGTACAACTATGCCTCAGTCCCAAGAAAGTTGAGGTCTGTGCTATACCCTCCCTGCTAGGTGCTTTATGTATTCCATTTTCTTTAAAGGAAATAGGAAATTGAGCCTGTTACTAGGTAATTTGTTAGAAATTGGTATATTCTCAATTAAGAATTACTGTTACAACGGTATAGCTATGCCTCAATCCTAATAAAGTTGAGATCCACTATATAAATTCTCACTATTGATAGCCCATTGTTTAACTTTGTCTTGGTCCTTTTATCCTATATTGTCAATGAAAAAAAATAGTTTCACAAGCACCGACATAATTGAGAAGTGAAATATTGTTTGATAAATTTATTGATTATAGAAAATTAGTTTTTGAATGTTGTGATCGTATTATCTAAATTCATGAGGTAAATGTATGTAAGTTCGAGTCGAAGTTTTTTTTTTTTTTTTTTTGAAATTGGTAAATTGTATCCCTTCAGCATTAAGGTTATGCTGGCCACCTCCGAAAAATTTACAAAAAAGAGATAGAAAAAACATATAAAATCCACTAGTTGGATTTCCTCTTCTATACTCTGTTCTTTACACCAGAAACCAAGTGAAGTAACAACTTTCCACTTAATCTTCAAAATAGAGGTCTTTTCCTTCGAAGATCCTCTGGTTCCTCTCCTTCCAAATGGTCCACCAGATGCAGGCTGGGACTGTCATCCACCATATTTTTTGGCTTTTGCTTCCTCCTCTTCTGATCCAGCAGCTAAGCAAGTCCGCAGTATGTTTAGGCATGATCCAGTTGATTCCAGCAATGGCGGCGAACATATTCCAAACTTGTGTCGTTACTTTGCAATGCATGAAAAGGTGTTTGTTGGTTTCTAGTGCCTCCTCGCAGAGGAGGCATCTAGATGCTATGATGGACCCCCTTTTTTGCAGTGCCTCATGTGTCAAGCATGCTTTCCTAGCTAATAGCCAAGTGAAGCATTTCACTTTATTAGGAGCCACACTTTTCCAAGGTCCAGTTGACCTGCCTCCAGCAACACTCAATTCCCTTTTGTATACTCTGTTAACAGTGAAAATTTCATCATTGTGGTGCCTCCAAATGAGTTTGTCTGAGTCTGGCAGACTGCACAAAGCAACAGCAGACTGCGCAACTGCCAGCCCACAAGATGTCACAGCTTCACCAGCTAACTGATGCTAATGACCTAATGATGAGGCAGCAAATGGGAATGAAAACAGGAGTTTTACAGCAACAGCAGTCAGTTGGATTTCATCATCCGCAAGTGAAGTCGGAAATATCTTCAGCTCAAACCTATCAGGCAGTATCTCCTCAGGTATGTCGTCAACATTTTATGGATTGTGTATAACTAAACTTGACGAGTGTTTATAGCATGTTTAGGAGAAAAGGCTTAAAATAATCTATTATCTATGGACTAAGCTCAAAATGATCCTATTTCTTTCATATGGAGCACTAATAGTCCCTTTTCTTTGATAAATGGTGCACTTTTAGTCCTAACTTTAACACCCTTAATCTTTTAATAGGAACAAAACCTACCTGCTTTGGATGAAAGCAAGAACGGTGCAAATGTGTCCTGGAATTTTCAATGAAGCTTTTCCCAATAAATGAGGTAATCATTTTGTTCTTGTTCGATCTTTATATATCTGTCCTTTTAAATGACTTCTACTGAAAGAGAGAACAAGAACTTGACAACCATGACAAGCTCTTGTCCATTGATTTTTAGAAACTGGAATAAGTCCCAAGTGTGAGAAACGGAGAGGACGAAATAGTGTAAGCAAGGAATAGGTGTTTAATATTTATTTTATATACTTTCAGTCTTTGTTTGCTAGAGTAAATTACATCAAAGAAAGAGAATTCTGACTAGTAAAAAGTTTCACGATGAATAGGATTATTACCCACCACTTAAACAAAGACTAAGAATTATTAGTGTTCCTGGAAAAGAAATAGGATAATTTTAAGCCTGTCCAAGGATAGTGGACTATTTTGAGCCTTTACTCTCATGTTGAGGAATAGATGAGGAGAGATTAGAGAAATATTGAGGCTTATTTAAGAAGGACGAGACATTGTTGGCTGATATTTAAAAAAAATTGACTTATTCGGTGAATATGCAAAATGTTGAAGTTTCTATGGACATAAGATGTCTAGCTAAGTTCGTGAACTCCTCGTGGACATGTGATGATTGACCAAAGAAGAAACACATTTGGTACTTATCCTAATTTCATGCAACAATGGTTTATGTTAGTCAAATGTAGTGTTCGAAGACTAGTTTTATACGAAACTGAACACAACCCTAAATTCAATGAACAAGCTTTAAAAATTAATTTAATTGTTCTTGAACAAACAATGCTTCATGGATTCTTTATACTCAAAAGAATTTTTTCATTGACCAAGCAAGAGAATCTAAAATATAATATGATTTTTGACAGATAAAAGTTGTTTATTAGACCTATAAAGTTGCCTTCGATTTCAACATTATGAGCATTACCAATGTATTATTTTCATGCATCATCACAAAACTTTGAAAGTGATAGTTGATGTGTTCAGGAAAGTGAACATTGGTTTATTTATGTCGTCAACATAAACAAGAAGTACAAGAAATCTCGATGCTGTTTTCTTTATAAAAAAATATAAATAAGAAAAGTCACTATTATATTCTTCGTCGTATGAATATTCACTAAGGTGATTAAGTCACATCCACCTTATTTGATGTTCTCTATAAGGATTATGAGTTTATAGAAACTTGTAAATGCTTCAAGCATTTTGAGTCCTTCGGGAAGTTTCTTTTGATTTTGTCAAGTGACAATATCTGGTATTAAATGTCCGATCCTCTGATGCATCGATTGTTGGTCCAATAAGGTTACACTTATCAAGATGCATGTCATTTCACTTGATAAACATTTCTACACCGGTATGCTTAAATAAACATATAATTTAGATCCTCACATTCTGTTACAATATTATGGGCTATATTGTATCAAATATATCGTCATTGAGTTATCATTTTGTATCAGTTCGAAGTGCGACGTAACTTACTAAGATCTCATTACTTCATTATTTACAGGTGCGTGAAGCTCTCATGAGGTTTCATAAGTCGCAGGCTCTTCAAGAGCACATTTACTTGTTAGTATGATCATTTTCTGTTTTCCCTTTCTAAGGATTATTTCAATTGGAATTGTCTGGTCTATCATGTTTCATGCATGCCATAGACTCTTTCCTTCTAGGACATTTAACATGAGCATTTGCAACTGATATGTGGGATTGATTTTGGGTTAGCAAATGCTTAAAGCATTTGACTTGAATGGTCTTTTGAATGAAAACCGTACCGATAATAAATTTTTCTTGACAACTTGTTATTTTCCCCTTATGTTAGAAAAACTTAACATATATCCCAATTTAATTGGGTGAATCTATCTTTGTGCATCATAGTATATTTTTTCTTCATATATTGCGCATCAAAAGCTATCAGGCGGAATATATTTAGTTCCTGACCCTAAACCAATCAAGAGTTGGCAAATTAGGGGGTGACTGAATGGTCAATGGTTGGGGAGATTGGGTGGGTGGAAGGAGACAATTAACTTAGAATGTCTCTTATGCAACTTGTTTGGCCTACTTTCATTATGGAAGTCATTTTCCTCATTTTTAAGGAACTTGTTTTCCTATAGACTATTTTCGGAACATTTTGACCAACCAAATATAAGAAAATTGAAAAACATTTTCTAGAAAAATGTTTTCCTCTATACCAAGCACACCCTTAGTCATAATTTGTAGGTCTGATGCATTGAAGTGTTGTTGTATACAATATATCCTATCATAGACCGACACAGAGTTTTGTTCTCATAAGCAATGGTTCAATTATTTATTGAAGGTATTCAATGTCAAACTAGCTCGAATATAAATTAGATTTATCAAGATGAATTGTCTTGATTACACAATCTGAAAACTATGCTTTTAACTCAAACATACACCTTTGTGAATGCCAAAATGCATGTCGACAATAAATGCACATGGTAATCATCTTATAGATGCATCTATTTAAAATATCACATGAGACGTGAATATGCTCACTTTCACTTCTTATCTTTTCCAGGATTTAGGGTATTCATTTCAAATATTAGTTAGTTTAATCAACTTATCATGAGAACGTACAACATAAAAGAATTTTTGAAGAATGTTCTATTTGTTCGATATATGTTGAATACTTAATATGTATATCTTTAGAATTCGAGAACCATATGATTACCATCTATATTTTTTTTTATTTAAGTGTTTTGTATAGTCGCACTTCCATCAAGAAAATATATGAATTGTTATTTTCTTCAAGGAATTAATAAAACATTACCGTAGAAATCATTCAACAAGATACATTTCCTTCTTCCTTAAAATGATATTTTTAAAAACGTAGACACACGTGTCATATTGCAATGACTTCTATACCACAAAAACATGTATATCCTTTTTATTCTATCTCTTCATGAGAAGTTGTGGTGTCTCTTTCATCCACTTCGGGGAATGAAATCTGATTATTTGAATGTGCTTGAAATACCAACCCCCTCGACCTATTTTCAAACTTTAAATAGATAGGACGTCAATTGCTTTGTTGAGCCGCACATGGAATCAAGAGCTCCAAGTGGGCCATTTTTAGTAAGCTAAAGTGGCAATGCGGGATGAACCAAAAGTCGGGTTACGATGCCAAACTGCGCGTTAACCTAGATCCCTCAAAGGGTCTTGGTCGATTAAGACATTAGATCATTATTTTCCTTAAGTAGACGACATTGCTTAAGAGTATTTCTCATATATTTTTCAAACTTTTTTTGCTTTAGGAGAAAATTTAGAAGTTTACTCCTTGGAGAATGTAATTTTAAAATTTTACCACTTCTGGAGTAAATTTCGAAGTTGTACTACTTCGGGAGTAAAGTTCAAAGGTCTGTTACTTCGAGAGTAGATGCCTGATTCTTGTTACTTTGGGACTTAGTTGCAAAGTGTTTACTATTTTGGGATTGATTTTTAGGTTTGTCATACCCCAAACTACCTCCCAGACGTGATTGACACCTAGCACACACCATCGGCCATGTGAACCCAATTACCATACCTTCACCATTAATTCATAACGTTTGATGAATTAAATAAGTATTCAAACAATATGATATATAATTATGAACTCTTGGTATCTCAAAATGTGAATCTAACACTCTTGTGCAAATCCCACGCTAAACCAAGGAGCATCAAAAGGAATCTCAAAAGGACTTGGAATATTAATGATAATGACTCTTTTGAAATCCCCCACAAATAATGCAGTTGTTCACCTCAACAATTAGATCAACCTCGACGACCATTTATTTTGCCAAGCACATGTTCGTCACAACTCAAGCAGACAAAACACATTTTGAAAATGGATTTGAAAATCAAGCACACAAAGCTTAAACTCACTTACCTCAAATTCACAACTCAATCATTCTTTCCATTAGATCATAACTACGATCTCGAGACTCCGGATCACCTCAAACTAACACAAAATGGGTTAAGAATGGTTAGGAACCCTTCGTTGGATGTTTTCTTAATTTTATCACAAGTCAAATTTGTGTTTAAAGATTAACCCAAAAAGTCAACTCGGATTAATGAGTTAGAATTCAAAACCAATAATATTTTGAGCTAGCCATACCTCGTTGGATCCAAGTTTATAATCGAGTTTCAACCCTTGTTGTCAGAATGATGGATCAATTTCCAATTTCATTAACTTTCAAGCTTAGATCTTAATCGTAACTTTATACCTCAAACATATCTCAATATCATCATTGCTTAATTAGTGAATATTATGTCTAATATAAATTATCCGTGTCCCCGAAATAATAATCAAAATGTGTATAAACACAATGCTGAAACAATAGAACTGCATAGCCAACACCTATGGCTTAACCCCTATTTCTCAAAATAATGTTTAATCTCATAATTATTTTCCATATGATATCATCCATCCTAATCATTGCAATATCACGTAGTACTTGAAGCTTTTCTTTTAAATGTGTGAAGGACTATGTTGTTGTTCGCTTGTACTTCCTACTTCTAGTTCCTTTAAGAAACTTGTAATTTTAAGGCTTTGTCCAATAACTGCAAATTAAATTAGTTCTCCAATCTTTCCATAATAAGTACTCATAAAAATTAATTGTTTGGTTATTGCAGTTTTACTACTTTGTAATAAATTTTAGATTTATTACTTTGAGGTTAAATTTAAGATATTTCTTTTTAATTTTTCTACTTCTTCTAGAACACAACCAACATTCTTTTATTAGTGTGACAATAATCATCATCATCGTGCATAAAAGATAATCAAGCTATGCATGAACCAAAGTATTCATATTATTAAATCATCCCACTCATCCATAGATTTCAAATAATGAAATCTTCGATTCACAATATTTATCCAAGATGGCTGAGTCTCTTGCTAATAATGCGTAATAGATATAAAGCAAAAGGAAGAAAATACAGGAGAAACGTAGAGAGATGGGAGAAAGCTTTTTATTTCTCTTGATGTATAAAATACAATGAATGAGAACTCCTTTATTTACAAGGGAAAACTAATTCGATCTCAAAGTAACTAACTCGCAACTATTCTATTAATGTCCCAAAATTTGCCTGAAATTTGAATTATGTAAGCACTCAACTTCTTTAATATTTTTGTTATCCTCAATTTTGTTTATTCGTAACACCTTTAGATTTCTCAAGCTCAAATGGGAAATGCAAATGGAGCTAATTGGAAGAAAGAGGTTTACCAAAAGGTTTTGTTTGCAATGGTATTTTTATTTGCGCAAGATTTTAATAACTGAGGATATTACATACGACTTGCTGAAAATTGATTTTTTTTGCATTAGTTATGATGTGGAATTTGTTTTAATGAATTTTTTTAATGCAGATTAAGCCTACGAAGGAGATGTATCTATTAGAGCTCAAGTATTTATACCTAAAGATTGCTTCTAAAGTCTGGCAGGTTTGTTTTTAGCTAAATTTGCAGATCCCAAGCGAACCATAGTCCTTGATATAATTGTTACTGCATTTTGAGTCTTAACTCTTCTCTTTTACTTCCTTTAATCATCATAATGTCCCACTTATTGATGCTCTCGGATGACTTCTTAGGACATGTCTATACCTTCTTAGGTGATAGAGCCATCTTATACGGCGTCTCATTTTAACGTTTGTGTTCCCTTCACTGAAAGGGATCAAGGCCTCCCTAATTCTTTGGGGCTTGGGCTTTATATATATGACTTTTAAAAAGCACTCATAACAACATTTTGTTGAAACATAGAATGCTGGTTAGTTTGTTTTCTTTTGCTTTTTTTTTTTCTTTGTTTTATTTGATGGTTGAAGGTAACGTATGTTTTCAGTTTTACTATGTTATTTGTCTCTTAATGCCTTTTCTCGAGTTTTCCGGCCTTTTTCTTGGCATGTGAGGGGTACTAAGGGGTCGTTTGATAATTGGTTAAAGTTATGCACATCTTAGTAATGTAGGCTTTAGTTATGAGTGAAACTATGTATTTTATTTTATGTAGATATTCGTTATGTAGAAATTGGTTATTCATGTATTAGTTATTCCACCTTTTACCTTACATAAAATATTATATAGATTCCCAGTAATTATAGATTGTCAAGGAAACGTCGTATTAATTTTATACATGAATTACTTATTTCCTATCTATCTACCAAACATCGTATAAGTTATGTGGAAATTAACGTGGATAACTTGTTTCTTATGCAGGTACCAAACGACCCCTTAAAGCTAAATCCATTCTACACATATAAAACTCTTCTAATCTATCTCAGGTTCTATAGTTCTCTTTCAAAACTCAGTTACATAATTTTTTTTTATTTTCTTTGGATTGTGAAGAAAGGATTTTGATTAGGTCAGAAATTGAGATGGATTGGTATAATTGGATGGCTGCTCAGACTTGGGAAGGTGGTTTAGGTGCTGGAGCTGCCGCCGGAGATGTGCATTCCAGTGATTGGCGTATTGGACATGCGCCCTATACTCGTCAAAGGATTGTCAACCAAATGTAAACTTTTAAAAGAATTTGCAGCTTGTTCTTGTGGTTTTGTTGAAGATTTTGGATTTGGAATTTAGGGTTCTTCAGTGTTTTATCAGTTTTATGAGAATAGCTAGTTAGGCAGAACCTGTTTTTTTTTTAGATCTCAATTTTGTCAAAACTCACTTCTCTAAGTGAATTGGGGGATTTCTATTACTATTACTTGGTGGAGTAATTGAAAGTTCATGGCGAAGTTTTTTTTATCAAATCTGGTGTCTAGGCCGTCTTTCGTGTGTTTAGACTAATTTCATAGGATCTAAACCTGTCCACCAAGGCTAGGACATAGGTGAAGAAATCACCTGTATCAACATTAGATCACACCCTTGACTACTTCATGCCCTAAACATTTCCAATTTAGGTTATCAATCAAGAAACTATTTCAAGTGGAAAACCTACTTTTTCTTTTTGTTCCTTGTATTTTGTTTTAAATTTTGTCGAAACGACAGGTAGTTGCTTGATCTAATTGGATTATAACTACTGATATTCTTTAGAGAAAACAAGTCTTAAGTCTTTCACAGCAGGGGCATGATGACAAATTGTTTTTGATATATTTGAGAAGCACTTATCTAGATTGTGTTCTTGTCAAAGCTTTTAAGCTGATCTTTTGTCAATATGTTTGTATAGATTGGAGGAAATTCAGAGGATTTTTCCTGTCTTTTGGCATCAGAATGTACAGGAACTTACGGAAATTGCAGTGTTGTTTGAGGAAAAGACGTATAATGTTGCTACAAGTTGGGTATGCAGTCTAAACTCTTTTCTGTTTATTTGGATGCAATTTATTCTCCACTTCATTTGATGTTTCTATTCCTGCTTTTTGTATACTTGCATACATTTTATTTTCCAGTCATCTAGATTTGTTGTATGCATTCTAACTTAAGTTTATCTAATATTGCAGTATGATTATCTGTATAGAATATACTCTAATCTGCGTGGAATGGCCCATTATTGTCATATCAACACTGCAATTAGTGGTCAGAATGCCCATGGTCCAGGTGAACAATGAAAGTCCATGTTTTTTATTTCACATTTTCACTTGCAATGTGAAATTAAGAAAAATGATCCTCTCATTTTTAATATTCTTTTTTCAAATTTCCTATGTGGTATCGTGCATAGCAACAGGGAAGCCTATTTTTTGTTGTTGCAAAAGTAGACTTTGAAGGGACTTGTTTGTTAAATAAACTCTTGAACTTTTGAGTTTTGTTGGAAGCAAACTTTCCCTTTGAAATCCTCTTTTTTTTTGGTTGTCATTTTACTCATTTCTAAAATTCCTTTTTAAAATTGAAATTTCAACCTAAGGGATGACAATGGAAGCTACTGTCTATGAAACTACTTCTGGGCCGGAGGATAGTGACAAGGAAGAGGATGATGATGTTGTAGAGGAGGTGGTGGGTACAAAGGAGCAAAACAATGCTGTTGGACACAAAGACAATGTCCGAGTTGTGGAGAATGAGGTAATTTTATTTTTGTAGTTCTGCTTTCCCATTTATTTTCTTTCTTTTAAGCATTTTCTCTATTAAAATGGAAGAGAAAAGAATTTTTGTATTTGCCAAGTTGACTATCTAGCTTAAGAAGACCAGGCCACTGATTTACATTTTGTTGTGGGGGTAATTGTGGTAAAATTAGTTGATGTTAGTAGTTGTTGGTGTTGATGGTGGTGGTTGATAATGTGTTGGTGGCGGTTTTAGTTGTGATGATAGAGGTGGTTGGTAGTAGGGATTAGTGATAATGGTGGTGGTGGCGGCTGTGACAGTGGTGTCAGTTGATATAATTATAATGATGTGGATGGTGAGTGTGGTAGCGATTGACAATAGTGGTTGGCAACGATGGTGGTTGTGGTGGTAGACAAGGTTAGTGGTGTGGTGACTGGTGATTGTGAATAGAGTGGAGGTGAAAATTATCCAAACAAATATACCTTTTAATAAGACATTCAAGATCGTAATGATTAAGACCTATTCAGATCAAATAATTGCTTAAATCTTATTGTATGCAAGTGCATTAATGACCTAAGGTTTGAACTATTCATACCAACATTGTTAAGTACAGGCTAATGAGGCCTAAGAGCGACACTCCAGTATCCACTTGTACCTAAATTTGTCAGAGAGTAATCCAAAGTTAACGAGTGTTTTTATATGCGTGGAGTTGGGAGTGGTAGATGATTTTAACTGTATACTTGTGATCATTCTGATAGTATAAATCTCCTATGTTACCAATGATCTCTTTTTTTTTTTTTTGTATAAATGATCTCTTCTGTTTTAAGGTCTCTTAAAATATATTAACCTCTTAAGTTACTAGTAGTTGCTAGTGTGTTTTATTCTAAGATCTCTTGTGGATTGAGTTCTGGTGCTAAACTTTATGATCGTTAAGCCCATGTTGAGGAACGATTAGAGAAAATGGAAGCTCATTTGGAAAAGATGGAGACATTGTTGGTTGATATTAACAAAAAGTTGAACTACTTAGTGAAGATATAGGATGCTAAAGTGTCTAGGGACTTTAGACGTCCAACTAAGTACATCAGATCCTCGCGGACTGGTAATGACCAATCAAAGAGGATACATAGTGCAGTTGAGATAGTAAGGCAGTCGTGCAAGCATTGACGATGGGAAGAGGTGCAATAGTGCAGTAGTTCCTCCTGTTGCTTTGCATGATGATTGTGTCGTAAATGTTCAATTTACTAAGTTATCAAGTAAAAAAGAAACTCTTGGTTTAATTTCTCTTTTTTTTAAAAAAAAATAAAATAAAATCTAAGATCTCTGTCCTCCTCTAAAATTCTAAGATCTCTTTGTGTTTAAGGTTAATTTTCTTCTAAAACCATGATTTTTTAGCAGGAATCTAGCTCCAACAAAGTTGTTGGGAGGCCTTCAGTATTTTTCAAGTAAAATGAGTAAGTAATTGTTCACATCCATCATATATTTCTTTTGCATCGTTTTAATTATATTTTCTTTTTACGGTATCTATTATGTGTTTCATTTTTGATTACCTTAATAGTGAGATTAGATTCCTTCCACAATCATTATTCTATGAACGTAGTCACACATCTATTTCTTATAATTCTTCCCCCTCTTGGTGAATAATGAGTTACTGCTTTGGCTGAAAACCCCTTTTGTTGTTGTGTTTTGGCTTTGGGTTGGATGATCTTTTATCAATCTGATAATTTATAGTAAAGATGTAATCATTGTGGCGATGCTATTTATAGTCTGTTTGGCCAAGTATTTTGAAGGCTAAAAGTCCTTATTTACAAAGATGATGTGTTTGGCTATGTTTTTGTGGAAAATAAGAGCTTCTAGGAAGTTGTAGGAGTTATTTTTCCGAAATTAGGAGAGTAGTTTTCCCTAAAAACACTTTTGAGAAAAACGCACTTTTCAAAATAAACTAATTTTATAAATTTGGCCAAATAGGCTACAATTCTATTACAAGTTTATAATACGAAAGTAATAATACTGTGTTTTTCTTTTTTTCAGAGGAGATCGGAAGGTGGAGCTTTTATCAAACAGTGAGAGAGACGAAAAGAGATGCATCTTCAGTTGCTTTGAATTTATGAATTTATATAACTTGGCTTGTTGATTTTTATGTCCTTTGAAGTTTTACTATGGATCTAGTTATATTTTAAGAGTAAAATTACCTTAATGTTGCTTGATATTATGTTGAATGTTGATCAACTAAATTATACAGTGATTGTCAAGTGTCCTAAAACATTTTTCTTGTGTTGGATTTTTCACAACATTATATGTGCGTTGTCAAGTTTGACACAAGATTTGAGCATGCAAAGAGGAGATGAATAGACGTCTCACTTAGGAGGTCTGAGAGGTTAGATACAATGGGTTATAAGGAGAGGTGAATAGGTAGGGTATAGCAGAACTTAAGCTTATTGAGGATGTTATGCAGGTTGCGTATTAGTATAGAACGTTGGTAGGTATTTGAGTTGTCTTGTTTTTTGGTGGTAGGGTGGTAGCTCGTAGCCCTATACCTGTCGTAATTTTATTGTAGGCAAGTAATTTCTTCCTTTTGATATATAATATTATCTGTTGTTTATTATATTTTAGTATCACGTTATTAGTCCTTGTTGGTATTCCTTTTCGGGAAACTTACACAAATATACTGTAATAAAAAAATATTTATCATTTATAGCAATAATATTTTTTTTCACTTAATCACTTTTAATTCATTTATAGTACAAGTTTAATACATATTACAAAGAATAATTTACTTTCACATATAATATAAGTTTTAATGATGGATAATACGTTTATCACACATTTTAATATACTTATAGTACAATGTGACAATTTTTTTTACCAAACAAACATAATATATTTCAAAAAACAATTGTAATTCAAATATATTACATACATAATTCACTTTTAATGCACATTACATATTTATCACAATATTGCTATAAATGGTAATAAATAAAAAGTATCGTTAAAATAAGTAATTATTTTATTAAATGTATTAATTCATATAATTTTTCCTCCCTTTTCTAAATGATATGTACTGCTTTCTCTATTAATTGATATGGTCTTTTGAGAATATCTCTACCTTCACGGAATAAGGATAAATTTTGTGTACATTTTATCTTTCTCAAATCCTAGTGTTGAATTGTATTTGTCCTAATATAACTTTTAGGCGGACAATCTTATGGTATACATCTCAGAGGAATAATAATATTTTGATCATGATAAAGCAGTCATGCCATGAAATAGAGTCACCAAAACAATATTTTTTCAACAAATAACAACATATTATGTGTACGATAAAGTTGGTTTCCAAATTTTAAAAAACATTTCATTTTCTTTTATCCATCAATTGCATCAAATCAATTATTTTTGGTTGAATATGATCTTTCAATCTTTTATGTAAGATAACTGGCTCGAGATGTTCATGTGATACACATGAATAAAAGCTCTGAAAAATAATTTATAATACCTTGTCTGAAAAGTTCTAGGTTAATGAAAAGATGATGATGAAGAGATCTCAGTAAGTTAAGTGAAATCAAAATGATTTTAACGTCGATAATTCCTTTTGTATTGAATATTGTATTGAAGTAATGTAAGAAGGCTAGGACCATAGTAGACAAAAGAGCGATCAAAGAGCTATCGTAAGAAGACTATTGAAGTAATGTAAGAATATATATTCATTTCGAATGTATGGCTCACTAGACAATAATGATCTTTTGAATTTCCTAAAGAATTGAAAATGCCCGGGGCATGTAGAGACTTCCGTTAAACTTGTTCAATAAAACTTGAAAAATTGTTAGAGATATTGAATCAATAAAAGGTGAATGCGATACAATCATCTTAATGAGTAGCATTTCATAATAATTATTTATGTTTATGACATCAATATCATTGGGACTTTAATCCCTATACAGTAAAAATTAATTTGTGTTCGATTTATCTCAAATGTAAACAAGTTTAAAGTTCAATTGATATTTTTCCCTTTTTTATTTTATATATTTAATAATGGAGAAAAATTTCTAAATACAATTTTTTTTCTTTCAAAACTTGTATTTTTAACAATAAGTTCATAAACTCAATATAATTATTCACATAGATTACTCAATTAACAATAATCTTTTTTTTTATAAATAAAAATAATAACTGAGTTTTTCATATATTAAATAAAAGTTTAATAACTCATTAGATAATTATCATAACTTAAGTGACTTTTATGTTTTCAAAATATAAAGATAATTGGGTTTATGGTATAAAAATTATTAATTGAGACCCCTAATGAGAAATTAACTCTAATATTTTTTTTTATTTCAATATACACAAACGTCAATAACAAATTTATATCTTCCAGGTTAAGGAAGTTAAAGTTGATGGATACTCACGGTGGTGGTGAATGTACCGATCCAGCCGTGGCGGCCGCCGGGGAAGCTGCCGGAGGTAATTTTCTTTTTCGATTTCAACTTGTACTAGTTTTATTTTTCTTCTTTTGTCAATGATTTTACACTTCTGATCGAGCTTGTTGTATGGGGTTTGCCTAGCCCAGTGTGATTTGCGGGTTATTACACTAGTGTATAACATATACTAGTATTTTTCATTTTTAGTCTCTCTATATATGAGTGCCCTGTAGACTAGAGGCTATAGAGGGTTCAAAATTGTCCTTAGGGTTCCAAGTTGAATTAGTGCCCTAAGCACAAGACTAGAGGCTATGGAGGGTTGAAAATTGTTCTTATGGTTCCAAGTTTAAATCGTAGGCACTTTCTTCCGATGCCCAAGGCCTTGATCTCGAAGAGTGATAGTTTTATGGGTTAGAGGCACTTCGTAGGTTCGGACCTTGTTACAATGTAGAGCGCGGACTCATTGTTTCTTGAGTGGCCAACTCTCTGCCATTGTGGTAACAGAAAATTTGTGTGGAAGGTTCCCACTTTCATACCTGAAATATCTAACATTATCCCAAAATTTTCCTAGAATTCTAATGTTGTGAGCAATCAAGTTCTGTAATATTTGTGTGATCCTCTTTATTTTATTTGTAGCACCTTTAGATTACACTACTCAGACGAGAAATGCAAATGGAGCTGATTAGCAGGAAGAGGTTTACCAAAAGGTATTGTTTGTGAAAATTACTTATGTGGATTTTGATAAACGAATTGGTTATAACATTATAGGAAATAGTTGAATCTTTTTCTTTATCAAAAAAAGAAAAAAAAGAAATAGTTGAATCGTTTGAAATATTTCCTATCCATATATACCAAGTGTTCAACTAAATTCATGGTCTTACCCTTCCGTGCAAGGTTCTTTATGTATTCCATTTCTTATAGGAAATAGAAAATCGAGCTTGTTAATAGGTAACTTGTTAGAAATTGGTGTATTCTCAATTGAGAAGTACTACTAAAGCTACACCTCAATCCCAAGAAAGTTGAGGTTCACTATTTTGAATTCTCACTGTCGATGATCCGCTATTTAAGTCCGTCTTGGTCCAATATGTCAATGACAAAAAAAAGTTTCACACGCACTATCATAAATGAGAAGTGAAGTATTGTTTGATCAATTGATTAATTATAGCAAATTAGTTGTTCAAAGTTGTGATCGTATTATCTAAATTCATGAGGTAATATGTATGGAAGTATGGATCAAAGTCTTCATGGCATGTCACCAATTTTCTTTATTCTCAACAACTAAAATCTTTAATTGATAGTTTGAAGGATTGACCTGTTCATGCAATACGTGTATACCTCAATATATGGCTATTAAATATGTTCTTTGTGTTAAGAAATCACACTCTTGGGAAAATGATTGTGAAAATTTGGAATAGAGGGAGAAGCTTAATGGTGAGGGGTGTTCGCTGATAAATATGGAGAGATGGAGAACAAATGTGATCACTATGCCCTTCGCATGTGGTGTGTGGAGGAATATCATAAATATGGAAGGGGTAGAATGCTTTAAATGATAACATTGGATTCAAAGTTGGGGAAGGGAGTAAGGTTAGTTTTGGGCGACAAAAGTAGTGTGGAGGATTGGTGCTTAAGGATGAATTCCCAGTATTGTATAGTGTCTTGCAAAGGAAATTGTCTATTCAGCAAGTTAAGGGGGCTTATAGTGATGAGAGGTTCTAGGTTTACTTCAAAAGCAATGCTAGCAATCGGTAGACCCAATGCTTTGAGTTGGGAGTTGGGAAATAGCTAAGTGTTCTGGGTCAAGTCCTTCTATGAGAAGCTTTTGGTTAAGGCAGTGTTTTGGACGACAAACGGCAAGGCGCTCACCTTTTTGAAGTGCGACCCGATTAATACCAAAATATTAAAATATTTTTCTGCATATATAAATAATCAAATCTAAATTTATATATTAGCAAATATTTCAATTAAAAAACTGAAAATAAATAGTACATACTTAGAACTTGAAAAAGAAAAAACAGAGCAAAAATCAAAACAGAGAGAAAAAACAGAGGTAATGTGACTCTAAAATCTGAATAAAAGAAGGAAAAAGAATAGCATATTGGTTGGACTTTGGAGTAGTCGGAAAATTCTGATCAGCTGCCCGGGATGTCTACTTGAAAACCCTAAAATTATCTTTTAAATTAAAAAACCCAAAAGAAGTCGTCTTTTAAAAAGAAATAACAAAAGGCAACCAAAAGGCGAAGCCTTTCTCGTCACAGTATCACCTTTTGAAGCTCGCCTCGCCACAAGCTAGAAGACGATGAAGGGTCGCCTAACCTCTTCCATCGACGACGAGGTGATCGCCTTTCACAACACTGGGTTAGACGTAGAGTTTAGATTCTCACCATCTTTTACAATATTGTGCTCTATATTAAATCAAATATATATCGTCAATGAGCTATCTTTTTGTATCAGTTCACCACGCGACATAAGTTACTGAGATCTCATCACTTTATCATTTCCAGGTACATAAAGCTCTCATGAGGTCTCATAGGTCGTAGGCTCTTCAAGTACACATTGCATCCGTATTATGATCATTTTCTTTTTTCCCTTTCTAAGGATTATTGCAGTTAGAACTTTCTGCTTTACAATGCTTTATGTATGTCGTAGACTCTGTCCTTCTGGAACATTTAATATGAGCATTTGTAACAGAAATATGAGTTAATTTTGGGTCAGCATATGCGTCTAACATTTGACTTGAATTATCTTTTGAATAAGTATCGTACTAACGAGGTACCTGAAGCTCACATGAGGTTTTATAAGTCGTATAATTATTTTCTTTTCTCCCTGCCTAAGGATTATTGCAATTGGAACCGACTGGTTTACCATGCTTTATGCATGTTGTTGATCCATTTAGGAGATTTAAATGGAGATTTTGCAACTGAAATATGAGATTAATTTGGGTCAGCAAATGCTTCCAGCATTCGACTTGACGTATCTATTGAATAAGTATCCTTGTATGATCTAGAACCAACCTTCATACCTCACTAGTGTGTCTATTTGCCCCTCTTCACGTGTCCAAATCATCTAGTCTCGCTTTCCTTAACTTGTCCACCACAAAGGCCACTCCCACATTCATTCGAATATCCTCATATATTGCACGTTAAAAGCAAATAGGAGGAAAATATTGGATACCTGACCCTAAGCAAATTGAGAAGAGGCAAAATATGCCATGATTTGTTGGTCTGATGCATAAAAGTGTTGTATGCACTATATCATATCATAGACCAACACACAATTTTGTTCTCATAAGCAGTTGTTCGACTATTTATCAAAGGTATTCAATGTCAAACTAGCTTGGATATAAAACAACATTATCGAGATGAATTAATTTCAATCTTGATTACACAATCTGAAAACTATGCTCTTAACTCGATCAAAGAACTTTAGGAATGTTAAACTGCATGTTGACAGTAAACACACATATGACAAACCATCTTATATATGCATCTATTTAATATATCACATGATTGGTGAACATGCTCGTATTGACCTTTTATATTTTTCACGAAAACAAACAACATTAATTTTTTTTGAAGAATTTTGTTGTTCTTCAATATATTTTGAATACTTAATATGCACATCTTCGGGATTCCATAATCATGATTAACATTTAAATATTTTTTATAAAAGCGGTAATTTGATATTATTGTCACTTCCTTTAGGAAAGCGTATGAATTGTTATTTCCTTAAAGGAAATTAGTAGAACATACATAGAAAGCATTCAACAAGATTTATTTCCTTCCGCCATAAAATGATACTTTACTAAAGTTATACAAGTTGTTTCTATGTACGACATGTACATATTGCAATGACTTCCATACCACAAAAATAACATGTATATCCTTTGTTATTTTGGCTCTTCAAGAGAGAAGTTGTTGTATTTATTTCATTCATTTTGGGGAATAAAATCAGATTATTTGAATGTGCTTGAAATACAACATTCATCAATAGCTCATTATTTTTCTCAAGTACAATATGGCATTGCCTTATAATATTTCCCAGACATTTTTCAAATTATTTTTGCTTCAAGAGAATTTTGAAGTTTTACTATTTGAAGAATGTAAGCTTAATTTTACCACTTTGGAGTAAATTTTGATGTTCTACTACTCCGGGAGTAAAGTTTAAAGTTTTGCTACTTCGGATGTTAGTTGCAACGTATTTACTACTTTTAGGGAGTGAATTTTAGGTTTATGCCATGTCCCAAACTACCCGCTAGGCATGATTGACACAAGTACGCACCATCAGCCAAGTGAACCTAATTTCCATACCTTAACCATTGATGCACAACATTTAATAAATGGAATAAGTATTCTAAAACTCTTGCTCAAATCCCACACTAGACCATGGAGCATCAAAAGGATTCCGAAAGGACTCAGAATAAATGTTAATAACTCTTTTGAAAACCTCCATGAACAATGCAACTGTTTCACCTCAACAGTTGGAATAACTCTAGTGAAACGCCTTAACTACTAGCTTTGTCTTCACCATTAGTATCTGCATGGAAATTTATGGAAAAAGTGGGTTATACATAAATATAACCCAGCTACTAAAATCATTGACCTTCCCCTTTAAATACCCTTGCAATAAGCGTTAGAAAATACAAACACACCCTAGCACATAAGTAAATTTGCGCATGAATTATATCAACTATTCTAATTCAAACAATTGTTTATGAAGAATACTATATATCTCATCATAAATTGCATTAAGAACTTGTCATAAAAGAGAGTTGAAGCAATTACTCAACACCATGAGTCCACGACAACATACACAATGCACCAAATACACTGAGAAGCAAACACAATGCTTAGAACTTTCAAGAAGCATACATGATGCCTAGCAAACACCCAAAACCTTAAGGAATTTATTTTTGTATCATTCTTTGTTTGGATAGTAAGAAATTTTTTAAGAGTTTATCTTTAAGGAAGAAAAAGAATAAGCAAAGAAGTTGCCTAGACGGGAGAAAAAAACATAGGTGGATCAAAATTTGTATGATGTTAAAGGATATAAACGTGTAATGATGCAAGAGAATAAAAGCACTAAAATTATGACGTAGCCTTACATGCTTGTTGAATATGAAACATTGTTGGCGGTCATGGTCGGGTGATGGCTTGATGTTAGATTATTTAGAAGGGTATTTTTAGTAATTTCACTCTTAAGTTGGCATTCCTGCTTTTAATTTAATATAAACAAAAATAGAATAAAAAGACGGACATATTAGTATATATATTCATTCTTAGACAAGTATATTTATATGACAAATAGAATGTATCTTGGGGTTTCCTATGTAAGACTTTGGAAAACATGGGTTTTGGGGAAAATGGATAGATTGGATCAAATTTTGCACCACTACAGCGAAATTTTCAGTTTTGATTAATGTCTCTCCCACAAGTTTCTTCTCATCTGAGAAAGGCTTGAGACAAGGGGATCCATTATCTCCTTTTCTCTTTATATTGGCAATGGAGGGTCTCAATGATATGCTAAGAGCAGTCCAGACAAACAGCTGGATAAGGGGATTCAATGTAAACATGAAGGATAGACAGAGTCTAGCCATTTAACATCTCCAATATGCAGATGACACGCTAATATTTTGTGATGCAAACATCGGTCACTGAAGTTTTTAAGAATAATATTGATATTGTTAGAAGAAACTTCAGGTCTACACATCAATTGAGGCTAAAGTTACATTTATCCAGTGACTGAGGTACCCAAAATTAATAGTCTGGCAAATATTCTGGGAGCTGCCCATAATATACTTGGGAATGCCTCTAGGAGATAAGAGAATATCAAAAGGCATATGGAACAATGTGCTGGAGAAATGCAAGAAGAAGCTTGCCAATTGGAAAAGTCAGTATTTATCCCTGGGTGGCAGAGCTACTCTCATCAACGGTGCTCTTGATGCTTTGCCTACCTACATGATGTCGGTGTACCCTATGCCAGCAAGTGTAAGAGACAAATTAGATGCCATTAGAAGAAATTTTCTTTGGCAAGTAAACTGCGATCCGAATTAGTACAAATTTCACTTTGTCAAGTGGATTGAAGTTTTCGTCAGCAAGGAAGAAGGGGAACTAGGAACAAGGAATTTGAAAATATAAAATCACAACCTGCGAATGGAATGGTTGTGGAGATTTGCATCACAAAAACAATCGCTGTGGGGAGATACCATCAAGGCTGGCTAGAGTGTGGAGACAAAGTGGATTAGCAATATAGCAACACAACCATATGGCACCGGATTGTGGGGGACAATTAGGAATCTATGGCCAAAATTTATAAACAAGTGCACAATTAAGATACGAGATGGTGGAAAAACTCTATTTTGGGAGGAAGTTTGGGTGGGACAAGCTCCACTTAGAGCTTGTTTCCCTGAACTATTCAACTTGAGTCTACAGAAAGTGGCCGCTATCAAAAAAATGAGAGATGCTCAGGGTTGGAATTTAAGGTTCAGAAGACCTTTAAATCATCTTTTTTTTTACACTGTAAGGAGGCGACAGTGAAACTTTGGCAAATTTTCATCAATAAAAGGTGCTCAGGAAACATAAAGGAAGCTTTGGCATGTTGGAATTGGGATGGAAATCAGTTAGGGCACAGGGAGAGATGGAAGATTGTCCCAGCCTGCATTTGGTGGACTATTTGGCTGGAATGGAATCGAGATGTTTTGAGAACAAGAGCTGCTCTATGTAGAAGATGACGTTGAAATGTTTAGCTCTTTTCTATTTTTGGTGTAAACATGAATGAGGATATCCCTAGTATCTTAGAGTACCTAAGGAGTTCATAGGAAAACATAGGAAAATAGCAACACTTTTGTATTTCTAATTGTAAGTACTAATGGAATACGTCCCGAGTATTCTTGTGTTTATAATACAAGTTACCTTTCCTCAAAAATAGAATGTATCTAGATACTTGAAATAATATCTAATATTGTCATAAATTTAGAAAATATAATGTTGTAAGCAATCAACTTCTTATTTTGAGCTATGTTTCTATCCTCAATTTTGTTACTTGTAGTACCTTTATATTTTTCAAATCATATGGGAAATGTAAATGAAGTTGATTGGCAGGAAGGTTTATCAAAAGATATAGTTTGTAATGGTACTTTTATTTGCTCAAGAGTTTGAAACTAGGGATATCATAAACAACTCACAATTTTTTTGCATTGAGTAATGATGTGGGGAATTTTTGTTGTTATAATAAGTTAGTTTATCAAATTTCAATTTCCACCAAGTTGTCTGTGATATCCTTAGTTTTCAAAATCTAGAGCATATAAAAATACCATTGCAAACTATCTTTTAGTAAACGTTTTTTGCACAATCAACTCCATGTGCATTTCTCATATGAGCTGAAGAATATGAAGGTGCTACATATAAAAAAAATTGACGATAACACATAAGAAAGAAGTAGATTGCTTACAACATTAAAATATCGAGGAAATTTTGGGACAATGGTAGATATTCTTTCAGGTATATAGCTACATTCTAGTTGTCTTCTAAATGTACTTGTCTAAGAATGGGTATATATACTAATATGTCCATTTTTTAATCTATGTATGTAAACTAAAAGAAGGAATCACAAGTTAAATTATTAAAGTACCCTTTTGGAATCATCTAATCTCAAGCCAAAACCCCCTCCTTGACAATCAACAATGCTTCGTATTCAATAAGCATGTAACTCTATGTCAGAGTTAGTTTTAAAGTTATTACATTGTTACATGTTTAGATCCTTTAACACCATACGAATTTTGATGCACCTATTTTTTTTTTCCTCTAGTCAAGATAAGTTTTTTAATGATAAACAACAGAGTTCTAGCTATGCCAATAAAGAATGACATGAAAACTTAATGTCATGGCTGTCATCTATCTACAAATAATTACATGACTAGCTTGATTGTCCTACTATGACAAGAACGACAACATAAACTTTACAGCGATCAAACAAAAGGTGGTAAAGAACTAAAAGGTTTGGTTATGTAATATATTAAATCTAGCTTTCAGATGGTTGCCCTCGTTCAACATTACAGGTAATCTGTTTACCTAACCATCCAATTTGATATTTTAGTTATTTTTCAAGTCAAAACAGTTTCTCCTTGTGAGTAAGTTGAATCTCGTGCTCGTTAAACCGCAAGAGACGTAGAATGCGTCCCAACATGAGATTCAGCTTACTCACTTGGAAAAATTGTTTTTGCTTGAGAAGCACATACGTTTTGTTCTTAGTGGAAAATGACAGCATAGGCTTACTTCTTCATTGTATGAGCAACTTTCATGCATACTGATAGTCCAATTGTTAATCTGCTTGTGCTAAAATACATCTACATTTCCATTAATTGTTTGTACAGAACCTTGTCGTGCAACATTTTGAAATTAAGGAGAGTGTTTTTTTCGTGGGGTGTGGTCTTTCATAACTTTGCACTTGTGATAATCAAGCATAAATCACACACGTGATGTATGATTTCTCTTGTTTCTTTTTCTTTATTCTAAGATCTCATGTGTTTAAATAAGATGGTATAAATTAGAGTAGATGGTTGGTAAGCAGTTGATTATTGTCGTATGATTCGAGTATTGTCTTGTTTCTTTTTTCTCTGATGTGTATTACTATATGCTGCTGCATGTTTTGTGTATATTGCTATTTCTTGTCTCTTTTTTCTTTCTTTCCTGCATCAGTTCTATTTTCTTGAGTTGTGCATCTTTCATAAACGACTTCTCTACCACGCAAAGATAGAGATAAGGTCTGTGTGTGTTCTATCCTCCTAGACCCCACTTGTGGGATAACATGGGGTTTATTGTTGTCGATGTCTTTTGTTCTATGATTTTCTGAGTGTAAAGTTAGTGATCTCTTGCTATTTTAATCTTCAGTTACAAATTATGTCTTGCACGTAATATCCTGTGCAAGCACCAAATACACATGCACGCCAATTGCTTACCATGGATCCAGTGGGTAATGTATGGAATGGTTTTGGTAGTGATAGTTAAGGTTCTAATTTTGATGGATTGAAATATGGTACTAAACATGATGAGTTTTTAGGCTATGCAAGATCGCATTTACATGGAAGAAGTATGGTATCATATGAACCCCTCGCTATATGATTTAAGTACTCAAGCACTCCTCCCAAGACTATGTAAAGTACACATGAACCCATGCAACCCTCCTAAGATCATGTAAAGTATTGGTGATCCCATGCACTCCTCTCTAGATTATGTGAAGTACTACAATTATTTTGATAAATTACATAAATTTTATAGGGGAGCTCAGCTAAAATTTGAAATATTATCTCCTAAAAAGTTTATGTTTGAATCTTTAGCAACTTTTTTACAAACAATGGTCACACTTCTCTCAATATTTATATGGTATTTTATTGTCTTCAATTCTTTTCTTTGATTTGTGAAGTGTTTCCCTAAATAATGAAAAATTTTAATCATTTTTAAATATCAAAATTTGTTATACTATTTTTCTGTGATGATAATATTAATTATAGTTTACTTGTCAAGTCATTGTCTTGGCAAAATATTATATATAGCATTAAACCTAACGATAATATTTTTTGGATAGAAGGTGGCAGCCCTAATTGATTAACTATGAAGGTGCCTCTTAGCTACATCAACACTCAAATTTCTTAAATCGTTATTGCCCAGGCTTCAATGATCAACCCCTAACACATTTTGGGTGTTCTGAAATCTTGGTACACCCTTGAGCACATGTTGAGGAATAATTAGAGAAAATTGAGACCCGTTCTAATGAGGTAGATACATTGTTGGCCAGGGGTGAAGTGAGGTAAGACTGAGGGGTTCACTGATACATTGTTGGCCAGGGGTGAAGTGAGGTAAGACTGAGGGGTTCACCTGAACTCTCTTCGGCAAAAACTTACATTGTTTATACATGCTTAATATTATTTTTTATGTATATATTATAGATGTTGAACCTTTTTTGACTTCTTCATGTGTTTACTAATTCATATCTTGAACCCTCTTAAGTGAATTTTGGCTCTACCACTGTTATTGTTTAAGATCCTATCAGAACTCTTGAGATAGTTATGACTTGCAAAAATTTAATCTATCAAGGCACAAAATTCATTTATCTTTTCAAAATAATTATCATTAGTTGAGTGACCTTTGTGGTACAAAACAAAGTTGAATGACTTTTCAAAATAATTATCATTAGTTGAGTGACCTTTGTGTTACAAAACAAAGTTGAATGACTTTTCTATTATAAAATAAAATTGAGTAACTTTTTGAGATAATTATCATTAGTTGAGTGACCTTTGTCTTATAAATAAACTTGAGTGAGTTTTTGAGATATAAATTATTACTTGAGGTCCTACAAAAAATAACTCTATATTATATAAATAGATACTAGGGCTCACATTAGGGGGAAAAAGTTTATCAAAATTGAGATGTATACTGATACTCAAGATTGTAAGAGTACCGCCTCGGCTATGGCTGCCACCGGATCTTCGACCGTAGAAGGGTCAACAAGATGTAAATTCCTTTTTCCGATTGTAACCTCTACTTGTTTTTTTGTTTTTTCTTTCAATGATTATATACTACTATTACTTTGTGGCCTAGTTTTACTCTATGAACCCTAAGAGGAGTAGTGATTTTTTTTTTTTTTTGAAACTGATAAGTTTGTATTCTTCAGCATATATGCAGAAAACACCTAGAAATCAATTGTCTTCTTCTGTAGCACTTTTTGGGTTAGGCAGACCCTATTGATAATCAACCAAGTGAAACACTTACTTTGGTAGGAATGCTGCTTTTCCAAAAATAATCTGACTTGCATTGAGTATTTGCATTAATCACCTGGAGACCTCTTGTGTAGGCACTCTTCACAGAAAATATCCCGTTATCATTGTGTTTCTAAAGAGGTATATCAACCTTTGTACTGCTAATAGAAGCTTGCCCTATTTCTCCTAGTAAAACAGGGCTACCCTCTCTATCTCCCAGTCATTTAAACGCCTCCTAAAAGAGATATCACACCCCTGTGTGGACTAACACTCTTGGATTGTCACCTCAAGGTTTACACAAATAAGAAATAGGTCAGGGAAAGCCTCATTTAAAGGAGTTTGATCAAACCACCTGTCTCTCCAAAATTTTGTCTTTGCTCCATTGCCAACCTTGAGGAAAATATTGTCTTCCATTAATTGCCATAAACTCCTAATTGTTCTCCATCCTCCCACTCCATAGGTATCAGTTACCATTTCCGTGCACCATGGGCTAGCTTCACCATACTTAGACACAATGACTTCCTTCCACAAAGCCTTATCCTCATTGATGTATATCTCCATAACCATTTCAATAGAAGACTCTCATTTTGAAGCCTAAGATTTCTGATTTCCAGACCCCCATCTTTTTTACTAAGCAACACAGTTTCTCATTTCACCAAACAATAACCTTTCCCCTCTTCATTCCCTTGCCACATAAACTTCCTCCCCATCTTATCCAGTTTTTTCACCACTTTTGCTGGGATTGGAAGAAGTGACATCACATAAGTAGGTAGTGAATCAAGGACAGAGTTTATCAAGATCAATCTACAACCATTGATGCTAACTTGCTCTATTTTTCTTTAGAATCCCATCCCATATCTCTAGTGCTTTGTGCTTATAGCCTAGGCGCATACCAAGATAAGTGGTTGGTATTTTCTATTCTGCATCCTAGTATGTTGGCCAAGCTCTGAACCTGAGAAACCTCCAAAACTGGAAAAGGCTGCTCTTTCCCCGATTGACTCTCAAACCCTAAAGCACTCTCAAAGAGTATCAAAATTAGTCTGATAAACCTAATTTTATCCACTGTTGGCTCACAAAATATGATAGTGTCATCTGCATACAATATATGACATATCTCCTTACCCTCTTCATTTGGAAACCTGAGATCCATCTCTTTTGGATTGCAATCTTCATCATACTGTCAAACCCCTCCATATCTAAAATAAATAGAAAAGGAGAGAGTGGATCTCCTCGTCTCAAACCCCTCTCAGAGGCAAAAAAAAACCCAATGGGCTCACCATTCACAAGAGCATAGAATGTAACTGCTTATATACAAACTTCCATCCATTTCACCCATTTATCTCCAAATCCTATTTGCCTAGGATATTGAGGAGGTAGTCCCAGTTCACATGATCATAAGCTTTTTGTATGTCAAGCTTACAACCTTACACATTATTCCAGGTATACCATTCTTCCATGATTTGTCTTTTCTTTATGAATGCCATCTGTGCAACTGGTTTCTTTGGAATTAATGCTATGAAGGTTGCATTGAAGCTTTTCACAAAAGTTTGGCTGGTGTGGAAAAAATTGGCAGTGTCTATGATGTCCTTCAAGGTGTCTCAGAAGGTTTTGAAGAAAACCATTGGGAAACCATCTGGACCAGGAGCGTCTCCATAGCACACATGTCAAGGCATTTCACGATTTCCTCTTCTTCAAATGGTTTCTGCAGCCATGCCTGTTCTTCGACACTAATTTTTGTTCCTCCATGTAGATTTAGATCTGGTCTCCATTGCTCAGTCTCTTTATATAGCTCTTTGTAGAAACTCGGCACCGCTTCTTTAATACTGTTAGGATTATTTATTTCAGTGCCATCCACATTTAGTTGATCTATAGAGTTGAATGATTGTGGGTTCCCTTGTCATAAATAAACAAGAAAAGGAAATGATGATGGGTAGTGGGTGGACCCATTATTTGATAAGTTATCTCACATGTATATGGGATAAGTTATCCCAAGATAAGTTTATCTCACATGTATATGGATAACTTATCCCATCAATATAGTATAAATGATGGGATAAATAATCTCATGACTACATAATACCTCCAACCAAATGCAGGATAAAATAATCCTACATTTTATCTAGGATTATCATACTCTATACCACTCCCAAAATTTGCCTGAAATTTTGATGATATAAACAATCAAGTTCTTTAATATTTGTGCTATACTCGATTTTTGTTTTGTTTGTAGCACCTTTAGATTCTACAGTTCAAACGGGAAATGCAAATGAAGGTGACTGGCAGGAAAAGGCTTACGAAAAGGTATTGTTTGCAATAGTATTTTCTTCTACACAAGATTTTGAAAACTGTGGAAATTTGACATGTGGATTTTGATACACTGGCTGGTTACAACATTATAAGAAATAGCTGAATATTTTGACATATCCTATAATTATAGAGTAACAAAGGAGGTTTACCATACCAAGTGTTTAGTTAAATTCATGGTCGTACACCTCCCCGCAAGGTTTTACAAACTGGTATACTGTCACTGGAGGAGTACTACTGCAACTACATCTCAATCCCAAGCAAGTTGAGGTTGCCACTATAAATCCTTATTATAGATGATGCCTTGTTTAAGCTTGTCTTAGTTCGATATTATCAACAAAAAAAAAAAATAGTTTCAGAAGCAATGGAATAATTGAGAAGTGAAGTATTAACTGATAATGGAGAAATAGTTGTTGAATGTTGTGATCGTATTGTCTAATAGACGAGGTAATATGTATATAAGTTCGCGTCACAGTCTTCATGGCTTGTCACCAACTTGCTTTATTTCCTGGCAACTAAAATCTTTTATTGCTACTTTGAGAGATAAACCTATTGGTGCAAGAGGTGTATACCTGAATATATGGCTATAATAAAGATGCTCTCTATGAAAAGATATTTGTTCATCTGTATTCGCTGGCATACTTTTTCTGTTCTTTAATTTTTTTTCTTTATAATAGAGAAATCAATGCCTCTATCTTCGAAACTTGGTGGGTAACATGTCTGTCCCTCTATCCTTCTCTACTTACATCCCGACTTGGCTTACTAGCTACTTTGACTTCACTAAGAATAAACATATAACACTTACATGCTCTGTAGACTCCTCCGTCGTTTTTCACTTGTGAAGCCAACTACTTAGTTATTATTTCATTGTTTTACTTCATAGATGGTAAAGGTGAAAAATGAGAGGAATATGATGATTGGCATTAAACTGTATTATATCTCCCAACCTAACTTTTAAAAACTATAGTCTAATTACAAAAGCTTGTATTCTTGATGTGAGCACCAAGAAGCTAAAGGATACAAAACTCAGTTACTTACTTTAATAACATTTACGTGTTTATCAGTTGTATGTAGTATTCCTCTTCTACTTCACTTTAAACCTTTTTATCTGGAAGGTTCTTTTGTGAGGATTTTATAGTTTGTTCTCTACTGCATCGTAAGTTGATCTAATTATCACTTAACCTTACGGGAATGTGTTCTTGACATTTCTGTAGTTGACTTTATGAAAATTTGTAATGCAGATCAAGTCTATGAAGGAAATGCATTACTCAAAGCTCTATTCTCTATATCAGGAAATTGCTGATGCACTGGAAGAGGTATGTCATCAACATCCCTCTAAGTGCTTCATAATAGAGCAAAATTTTGGTAGACTCCTAGCAAGTTTTGTCAACATGAACCAAGGTGTTCTTACATATATTCTCTGGCATTTATATTTGATAAAAACAACTTGATTTGCCCAACGTAATCCTAGAATATTATCTGACTGAGAAATGATGTTGAAAGCTCAAAACTCTAAATTCACATTTTTGCTTCTTTGGTTGATTTTCTGTTATCGTGAGAAACAGTACCCGCATAGTGGGAATATGTTATTGTAGTAGTTAACTCCCTTTCATTTCTAGCATCAGCATCATTTGTTTTCTGTTGAAGTTTTGTGAATGATTGTGAAATCGAGGTGGTGGTGGACACCATAAAGGGAGTTATTTTCACATATCTAGGTAGACATTGCAGTGTAGAGGTCATTTTGTGTTAGTTTATTTCCTTTTGGCGAAGGAATCAAGGCCTCCCAAGTTCATTGGGCAAGGGCTTGATTTATCTGAATTTAAGGAGCACTTGAGTCAACATTATGCTGAATTTCGGGAACCTTGTGAGCTATGTTGTTTCTCTTTATGCCATTTCTTGAATTTTTCTTCCTTTTTCTTTGCCGTGGGAGGTAGTTGAAGCATGTATTTCAAAAAGTTTGCAGAGGGAAAGAAACAGGATTGTCACTAAACTGATTTTTTTTTCTTCTGATTTTAAGCAGAAATCTCAGCATCTTACAAATGAGCAAATTGAAAAGCTGAAGATGTTCAAGATAACGTTAGACCGCATTATGCTTTTCTTGCAGCTTAACAAGGATTATGTCACACTTGCTCACAAGGAGAAACTGCTTTCGGTTGAGAAACACATAGATTTCTTTCTTAGACCCCGTCAGACACCAAAGCCTACTTCTCCAGTGCAGGAGCAACTTCCTCAGAAGGACAAGCAGCAAACTGATGCAGAACCAGCAACTAAGAGAGCAGTCCCACCATCGGCAGATGCAGCAGCAACGTTTTTAGACGTTAGCACGACAGCAGCAAGCAAAGCAACAGTAGACCATGCTATTGTGAACCCACCAGATGTCACAGCTTCAACAGTCTTCGATCCAGCTTCAGCAACCTCAATCCCTTGATGGTTGAAATATATGCAACAAAACAGTATTATTGACTTGCAACATGATTGTTTTGGATAATTCTATTGTTTATGTTTCGTGCACTCGTTAACTCATGCACCCTTCCCTAGATTATGTGAACTATTTGCAATTATGATGATAAATTGTTTAAATTATATGCGGGAACTCAGGCTAAAATTTGAAATATGCATCTCCATATTTTTCTCTGTTTGGATCTTGTAGCTACACTTGCAAGCAAAGGTCAAAATTCTTCTAAAAAAATTTATGGTCTCTTTTTTTTCTATTTCGTTTCTTCGATTGGTATGTTTCCTTCAATAATGATATACTATTTTAATTGGTTTTCAAATATAGAAGTTCATTATACTATTTTGATGATAATATTAACTATAGTTTACTTGTCAATTTGCTATCTTAGCAAAGTTTTATAGCATTAAATCTAACCATGGTGTAGTGTATTTATTATTTTGAAATCTTGGATACACCTCTAAGTAAAAAAAAACGAACTATGGATAAACATTTGATGATGATTATTGATATTCTTTTTTTTTTCCTTTTAGAACTCTTTAGATGGATAAGACTAGCAAAATTTGTAACCTACTAGTCTCGTGAAAACGTGTGTGGCACGTTTGTTCCACACAAATATATATATATATATATATATATATATATATATATATTTAAGTTACAAATCATTAATGAATTGATTTTCATATATAAATAGGAGATGATTTATGAAGTAACTATAAGTGAGGATGATGATTTATAAAAAGAGACATATACATGATGTGATCAAATATATGTTCCTAACAAATGAAATATGTATCTTTATAAGCTTATAATCTACTTTTTATAATTACATATAAAAAGTTGTAGTGGGGAATAGTATTTACTTTTTATACAAGAGTATACAGATTCGAACAACATATATAATCTTATGATGGATAGTAAATCATTATGAATTTTATGGAATATATCTAAAAATATATATATAACAGTATCATGGTTACTTTAGTCATAATAAAGTTATCATTCTTTGTTTCTACCTCGTGTACATATTATTTCTCTGACATAATACATATATTAGACCCTAAACTTGACTTCAAATTTTAACTTTGACCTCCAACTTTCATAATGCACAAATAGACACTTTAACTATCCAACTTTTAAATAATAAACACATGAGTCCTACATGACACAATACACGTAGGACAAAAAATGACATGTGTGTCTATTTGTTCAACTTTATACAAGTTTGTCTATTTGTGCACATTCAAAGTTGAATGGCATAAATGTAATTTGAAGCCAAGTTGAAGGGCACATTTATGTATTATGCCTATTTCTCCAGTGCTTTCACAATATTCGTCTAATTGATAATCTTACAATATTTGTCTAATTGATTCAAATTCTTTACGATATTAAATTTTCTATCTCATTGTTGTTTTACTTATATAGTTTTTAATCAATACGAGTAAACATACCTTCTAATTACTGCATTTTAACTAACAAAATGTAAACTTAAATTCGACAAATGTTATAAGAAAATGAACAAAATACGCCTTTTAGTTTTGTGTAGTAAATGTTTGAGGAAGTTATTCATGTACCAAATGTGGCTAACGAAAAACGAAAAATAACTTTTAGTTTTAATTTTATAATAAGTGGAGGTAATGAAGAGTCTATAAACACACTCACCAACAAACATTATAGATTATATCTTCTTTCATCCAAATTTGCGATTATCTTGCAATATGTAGATTATTATGCACCATTTGTAAAAAAAATGATTATCCAATTTTAATTGTAACAACCCTTACTAATTCTTATATTTGTGTTCTTTACAATTTTATTCATATATATTTATTTTCTTTTTTTGAGGAATATGTCAATTGGAATGGTTACAAGATGGATGTTAATCAAATACAAAATTGTAAGTGAATTTTGATTTTTCATATCGCCATCTTTTTGAATTTTCAAATATAACTTTGTTATTGGTAATTATACTTTTAAATTTTTTATTTCTTTTATTTGTAGGATATAAATATAATAAAACTAACCCCAAATTTATATTATTATTAACTATTTTGAGGATAAGCTAAACATGTTGAATCTCTCGGAACATTTTGGGAGGCTCAATTGTTTCTGATTAAAATAGCTATCTTAAACCGCCACATAAACAAATAACGGTCGCCGCTAAATATAGATAGATATTCTTGGCAATTAAAACCACCACTAAAACCAATAGAAGTTGCTGCTAAAGCTAAGTATTGCTGGCAACTTAAATCGCCACTAAAACCAATTACCGTCGCTGCTAAAGGTTAATTTTAGTGGCAAGTTAAACCGCCACTAAAACCAATAATAGTCACCGCTAAAGATAAGTTTTAGAAACAACTAAAACCGCAACTAAACAAATACAAGTCGCCGCTAAAGATTAGTATTTGTGGCAACTAAACCGCCACTAAATAAAATATAAGTCGCTGCTAAAGCTAATTAAGTATTAGTTTCAACTTAAATCTCCACTAAACCCATTATTGTTGCCGCTAAAGGTTAATTTAGTGGCAACTTAAACCGCCACTAAAACCTATATTAGTCGCCGCTATAGATAAGTTTTAGTAGCAACTAACATGGTCACATAAACAAATAGCGGTCGCCGCTAAAGATAAGTATTCGTGGCAACTAAAACCACCACTAAATAAAATATATAAGTCGCTGCTAAAGCTAACTATACTGTCAACTTAAATCGCCACTAAAACTAATTACTGTCGTCGCTAAAGGCTAATTTTAGTGTCAACTTAACCTGCAACTAAAACCAATATTAATCGCCACTAAAGATAAGTATTCGTGGCAATTAAAACCGCCACTAAATAAAATATCAGTCGCTGCTAAAGGCATGTATTAGTGGCAACTAAATCGCCATTAAAGCCAACATCAATCGTCGCTAAAGATAAGTTTTAGTGCAACTAAAATCGCCACCAAAACAAATACAAGTCGCTGCCAAAGATGGCAACTAAACCGCCACTAAATAAAATATAGTCGTTGCTAAAAGTTTGTATTAGTGGCAACTCACATCGCCACTAAAACAAATTATTGTCGCCGCGAAAGCTTAATTAAGTGGCAACTTAAACCGCCACTAAAACCAATGTAAGTCGCCGCTAAACATAAGTTTTAGTTGCAACTAAAACTGCCACTAAACAAATACAAGTCGCCGCTAAAGGTTCGTGTTCGTGGCAACTAAAGCTGCAACAAAATCAAATAAAGGTCGCCGCCAAAGGTCAGTTTTAGTTAAACTGCCACTAAAATAAATAATGGTCGCCGCTAAAGGTATATTTAGTAGCAACTAAAACTGCCACTAAATCAAATAAAGTTGCCGCTAAAGATTAGTTTTAGTAGCATTTGAAACACAACCACTAAAACTAATAAAGGTCGCCGCTAAAGATTGGTTCTCGTGGCAACTAATTAAACCGCCACACAGCCAAATAAAAGTCGCTGATAAAACTTTGTGTTTTAGTGACAACACAAACCGCCACTAAATCAAATAAAAATCGCCGCTAACAATAAGGTATTCATGGCAAATGAAACTGCCACTAAACTACATTCGAATAATAATTGTCCATTACTATTCAAAATCAAAAGTTAAATATGAAGAATCATTCTCCACTACTATGTAAAAACACTTCTAGAACTAAAATTTGAAACATTTCTTTAAATTGCTTTTTAAGAATCAATTTTACAAAGATTGATGTTGTCATCATAGCATAAATCAAATTTCAATATGAAAAAAGAAAGAAAGTGAGAAACTACAAATGAAGGATAAAAAAAAATGCTCGAGTTTATCATCTATTTAATGTTCTTCTTCATAGACCATAATATAATTTTTATTATTTAGTAAATAATATATAAATGGCAAAACTACTATTGTTAATTTTAGCATTTTCTATTTTATAACTCAACTTTTTTTAATTATTATTATTATTATTATAATAATAAAGAATAAACGTGCACCGCACGCTCCCAAAGCTAGTAGTATTATAAGTCGAAAGATTTTAACTTCAAAGTTGGATTACGATTTTACACCTTCACTAAATTTAAATATTATTAGCAAACTAATTAATAAATTTTAAATAATAATTATATGGTATTAATCCATTATATTTCTCTATAGAATTAATTCACGGTATATTTAATTTGTTCTCATTCTAAAATGGAGTTCGGTAGATTAAGTGTTTCATCCTTTAACATTAAAAAACAAAAATGTCCTTTGAATTACCATACATCGGCACACATATATAGATTTTAGTTAGAAACTTTACGTATCCCAACTTTAACCAATTGAATTCTCCTAGATTTATGTATATCAACAATTTTTATATGACTTTTATAATTCCTGACCTTATTATATACATATCAATAAATTGATTTCAAAATCACTTTATATTAATGTATACACTTAGTTATTTCGATGTATAATTGTTGATGAATGATTGTTGGTGGATGTATTTACATTTTTCATCACAATCACTTTATGTTAATTTATACACTTAGCTATTCTAATGTATAATTGTTGATGGATGTAATTGGTCATCACATATGCAATAAAAAAGAGGAAAATCTATTTATGTTTTGTTAGTTATGGAGGAAGTTTCTCCGTTCTTTTACACTAGAACTGTTTCTCTCTTTAATTTTGTCATTTAAATATTTTATAATTCATTAGCTATTTTATTATTTTTAATCTACTCTATTTCATCTTATTTTCAAATATTTGTGGGATAAACATAATGTACATATGAGGTTGTATTGTGATGCCATAATAATGTTATGAATATTGAAAATTTTAGGGATAATGTCCAAGTACCCCCTCAACCTATGCCCGAAATCTCAGAGACACACTTATACTATACTAAGGTCTTATTATCCCTGAGGAATTAAGGCCTCCATAATTCTTCGGGCAAGGGCTTGATTTATCTGAATTTAAAAGCACTTGAATCAACATTCTGTTGAATTGTGTACGCCTTGCGAGCTATGTTGTGTACTTGTAGCATGACTGTGACTGAACAGATTTCTTTTTACTGATTTTAAGCATGACTCTATTCATCACCGTCTTCAAAATGAGAATATTGAAAAGATCAAGATGTTCAAGGTGACGCTGGAACACATTATGCTTTTCTTGCGGCTTAAAAAGCAGGATATTCAACTTAGTCACAAGGGCAAGCTGGACTCGGTTGAGAAGAACATAAGTTTCTTTCTAAGGTTCAATTGGGAACGCAGCATGACTTCTTCTTCTCCACAGCAAGGGGAACTTCATCAGGATAACATAAGCTCATTCAGTACACAAAGTGGAACGAACCCCGTAAAGGCAAACCTCGAATCCCTACAGCAAAATTCAAACGCTCTGTGCAACCGGCTACTGATGCAGCAACAGCTTCTTCAAAGTCAGCAGTTAATGGAACATCAGCAAGCAATGAACTCACTGCAGCAGTTAATGCAACCGAATAATTTCACCAAATTGCAGCATAATTCCTTGTCTGGCGTATCGACAAATATCAACACTCAGCAATACATGATAAATTCAGTACAGCCTGGTTTCAATTTCAATTTGGGACAGAGTAATTCTTTGAACTTCCTGCAACAGGTGTCTACTGGATTTTTGCAACGAAATCCTGTTAACAATCTTCAACATGGTAATATAAGCTCATTCCGTACACAAAGTGGAGTGAATCCCATACGAGGAAACCTCGGTTCCCTACAGAAAAATTCGAGTGTCAGGCAGCGAATGTGGCAGAGCCAGCAACTACTTTTTCAAAGATTGAAGTTAATGAAACAGAGGCAAGCAAATCAACAGTAGACCACACTATTGCCAACCCACCAGACGTCGCAGATTCAACAGTCTTCCATGCTACTTCCGCAACCACAATCCCTTGATGGTCGAAACTAATCCACAGATGCAATAGGAATAGGGTTCCATGGAAATCATTGCAACAAAACAACATTATCGATTAGCAACATGTTTGTTTGGATGATTAAATTGTTTATGTTTACGTGCATTCGTGAACACATGCACCCTTCCCTAGATTATGTGAAGTACTGCATATATTTTGATAAATTACTTAAGTTTAACGTGGCAACTTAGGCTGAAATTTGAAATATCCATCGCCAAATTTTTCTCTGTTTGGATCTTTTGCTACACTTTTACAAACAACAGTCGCAATTGTTTCACAAACAACAACTTTAAGGTCTTTTTTTTGAAAAGAAATAATCTATTCTTTGATTCGTAAAGTGTGTTTCCTTAAATAATTATCCTATTTTAATCGGTTTTCAAAGATAAAATTTGTTATAATATCTTAATGATAGTTATTGTTCTTTTTTCCTTTTAGAACACTTGAGATATTTATCACAGGCAAAATTTGCAATCCATAAGTTACTAAAATTACTCATCTTTGTGTTTTGTTTTGAGATCTCATGTGTTCAAAATTAATAATCCCTTGCCATATATAAATCTTTTTAGTTACTAATGTTATCTCAATTTTTAATTTAGTAATGTCTATAACTCCTAACGTTTCATATTCATAACCTTCAAATTATTTGTTGGTTTAATATACCACAAATACAAAATATTACAGTTGAAAAATAAAACGAAAAACATGACTAAACAAATCTTTAGGTCGAGGCACGTGTATCTAGCTCTCTTTAAGGAAATTTAAGCCCACTCCGACATAATCTACACCGATCCAGCAGTGGTACTCTTGACTTGTCCCCTCCAGGATACAACAGTTCAACAACGCCGTACAACTCAAACAACTTCGGATTAGTTGAAGACTCCAAAGCTCTCCAAAAGAACACCTTCCTTTAACATACAAATACTCTCGAATATTTTTATATGTCTCAACACTCTCTTTCACTACTACACATTACAATTTTATTTCATTCTCATTTTTTTTAGATTATTTCACTTCTTACTTGGGATACTTCATAAAGGAAGAAACACCACTATTTATAGGTGAAGAAGTTTTCCATATAATCAATAGTTAGAATAAGGGGTAGTAATGTGATAGATGTTACATGAGTTACAAGTTACTAATGGTCATATGAGTTATAAGAAACTATTGATCATGAGAGTAACAAGAACTAATGGTCATATGAGTTACAAGATGTAGTTGTCATATAAGTTACAACAACAAATTGTCATCTTCTACCACAAATTATACCCACTAACATATGCACTTAGTATTTTATTTTAAATAATAAAATACATAGACACGAACATTATTTAATATCCAAATTTATAACTTCTTAAACTCACACTTACAAAAGTTAAAATCTTTTTGGCCAGAATTTGGCGAGGAAAGAATCAAAATAGTCTCTATTCTTTGGGTTAAGACTCAAAGTGATCCTTGATTTTTCACATGCAGCACTAATAGTCCCTCATTTTGTAATATTGGTGCACTTTTGGTCCTCCTTCAAAATTTTACCTATTTTTTTCATTGATGAGGGATTATTAGTGCTCAATGTGAAAACTCAAGGATCACTTTGAACCTTAATCTATGTTATTTTATCTTTTATAAATTATTTTTCCCATTTTAACTTTAATATTATTATACTAAAAAATTAAAAAAAGAATTTTTTTTTTATTTTCTGATCATTTACCACTTCTAAAATAAAAATCTATTTTGAGACATAATTATTACGCCGTAAATCAATAACATTAAATTTAGTTTTTTCCTTCTTACTTACTTTCATGGTTTGATTTTTTCCCAAGTTATAACATAATTAAGTGACTTTTTTAATTATAAAAATAGAGTCGTATAACTTTTTGAAATTATTATCATTAATTGAGTGACATTTATGTTACAAAACAAACTGGATGGACTTTTTATTATAAAATAAAATAAAATAATTTCTGAGGATATTTCTATTTAACAAAAGTTTATAAAAATATTATTTGAGAGACTATATATAAACTTTTTAACTCTATATATATATATATATAAAAATACATATACTAGGGCTCAAGTTGGAGGATCAAAAAAATTTATCAGCGGATGTATATTGATAATAATACTCGAGGTAGTGATTTCTTCTGGCCCTTTTTTTTTTTTGGATGTTTACTTGTACTTGTTTTTTTTCTCTCTTTTGTCAATGATTTTATATAGTGTTTGAAATTTTTCGTATTTATTTTTTTGTGTGGTTTGTGAGATATTGTACCGCGGGTTTACGTAAAACCAAAGGTAGCAAGTGTGTGTTTTGGTTTCATTGGGACAAGTTATACTGTTAGGATGTCAGGATCCCAATTAGAATTAAAATCTGATGGTAAATTGCCAATTTCTAAAGTAAATCAACTCAATTTTTTTTTTGGAAAATTTTCTCGAATTGATATAAACTGGAAAAATTGATTTCTAATACAGAGAAATTGAAAAACTAATTAAATCTAAGATAGCTAGAATGATTGGGTATCCGGAGAGAGAAGAAGAGGAGAAGATCGAAAACGACATTTAATCTTGATCGTTATCCAATAAAAGTAACATTATAATCTCGATTAGTTATCTCGTACGAGGTCATAGTGTAATTCTACTAGTTAGGTCTCTCCCAAGCTCTTAGGGTAAGAGAGGTAGTAACATTTTATTTATAGATAGACGCTTGGCTCAAAAGTAGTGTAAAAATTAATTATAATAACAATATTATACGACAAAGGTGCAGTTATGACGGATAATTTTTTGCGTGGAGTTTTGTACTTCTATAATAGTATAGATTAAAAGATAGAAGCATTAATATATTTCCAAATATCCAATAAAAGTAGAAACTTAACTTTCTTACCCAAGTACATTTGGACAGAAAGGTGCGGTGTAATGGTCAATAAAATGGTTGAGAATCACGAGGTCTCGCGTTCGAATCTTAAGGGGAGACTGAAAAAAAACCACTAGGTGATTCTTTCCTTCTTTAACAGGACAATAACCTTAGTGGACCGAGGTAGGAGGTGCTCGAACACCATGGTCATTAAAAAAAAAAGTATTAATATGCTTGAAATATGTAACATTCTCGCAAAATTTACTTGAAATTTTGATGATGTAACTAATCAAGTTCTTTACATTCTACAGTTCAGATGGAAAATGCATATGGAGTTGATTGGCGGGAAGAGGTATACCAAAAGGTACGGTTTGCAATGCTACTTTTAATTTGCACAAGATTTTGGAAATTGTGGAAATTCGATATGTGAATTTTGATAAATTGGCTAGTTATAATATTATAAGAAATAGTTGAATGTTTCGATATATTTCCTATGATTATAGAGTAATAGAAGAGGTTTACCGTATCAAGTGTTCAGCTAAATTCATGACCGTACCCCTCCACACAAGGTGCTTTATGTATTCAATTTCTTAGAGGAAATAGAAATCTGAGCATATTAACAGGTAACTTGTTAGAAACGAGCATGAATCCTCACTGTCAATGGCGCTTGTGTGAGCCTGTCTTGGTCCAATATTGTCAACGACAAAAAATTAGTTTCACATGCACTGACATAATTTAGAAGTGGAGCGTATTTTGATAAATTAATTGATTACAGTAACCTGGCAACTAAAATCTTAATTGCTAGTTTGCGAGATAAACCTATTTGTGCAAGAAGTATATACATGTTTTCTGTGAAAAGACATTTGTTCATCTGTATTAGTTGGTATACTTGTTCTGTTTTTATTTTATTTCTTAAAATAGAGAACTCAATGCTTCGTCCTTGAAAATCGTCCTTCTCTACTTACGTGACTTGGTTAACTAGCTAGTAATAAGTTGGAATACTTTGACTTCTCCAAGAATAAACATATAACACTAACATGCTTTGTATTCTCCATTCCGCTGTTTTTCACTTGTGAAGCCAACAAAGAACGTTACGCCATTAGATTACTAAGAAGAATAGGTTTCCAATTAAACAAGAAAAATAATTAGGCGCTAAGTAACTTGATAATCGACCTATGACTGTTTCTAGCTTTCTAGATCCTTTCAGTAAGTCTAATATTTCTACAACTTCTTTCTTAATATGTACGAACGCTATATCATTATTCACCGATGATCCTCTAAAAATCTTCGAGTTCCTTGCTTTCCATGTATGATAGATCACTACTCCCCGAATAGCTGTGATGAAACCGCTTCCAGTTCTTCCTCTTTATGCGTTCCAGCACTTTCAGAATCTCACCCTTAGGTATGATTAGTCCTACTCGCTGTAGGATGCTATCTCTCAATGTCTCTATCCAAGATGTGTAACTGAGTCTCCAGAGATCGACTTTCTTTTGTAAGTAGTCTACCTTGTACAGCCAACCACACAAAAGATCGATGCTTTGGCTGTGAAAGTGCTGTCCAAATGAGTTCTGCAATATTTAGTCTACTCTGCTGCCCAAACATAGCATTCAAGCTCCCTGTAATAGAATATTTGGATTCACCAAACACCGCAAGACTGTTGTTGATATTGGAAAAAGATTAATGCGGAGATGACCAGACATTGATCTAGTGGTAAGAGTGTAAAATTGGACGTATTGGATTAGGCGCATCTCACAAAATTTTAGGATTTAAGTGGAGAAGGGTAGATGATCAGACGCGTCATCCACTGAGTTAAGAACTGTGCGCCTAAAAAACGTTAAAAACCCAGGTTACCAGCACCTTCTCTGTGATGAACCTCCCTCTTTTACCAGATTAGGTGTTGTTCCAAGCAGAGGTAGAGCAGAGCACCAGCCTCGAAGTGGTCTTACTTTATTAGTAACTCACATCAGCATTGAAATCTCACGCACGTCAGCTGCTACAAAACTCCTATTCAGCAGGAAAGCAGCCTCAGCTTCCTCACAATCAACCTGCGTGAAACCAAGTTTTTTTAGTGGTTCGTCCAACCTGTGTATGTCTTATTTAGGGATTTAGTAGCAAAAGAAAGACCAATAATTCATCTGAGCATGATATACATTGATGTTAGGAGGTAATACACGTCTGGTAATGTAAGAAACCAAGTTCTATTATTGGTTCGTACCTATGTATGTCTTATTTTGGGATTTAGTTGCCAACTTCATCATTATTATTTCATTGCTTACCCTTGTTTTTGACTTCATTGATGATAAAGGCGTAAAGTGGGGGGAAAATGGTGATTGCTATTAAACTGTGTTATATCTTCCAATCTAACTTTAAAAAAGTATATTTTAATTCCCCATGGTTGGGCTAGTCTATGATCACGTTACGGAAGTTGTTTTCTTGATGTGCGTACCAAGAAGCTAAAGGAAGCAAAAATCAGTTACATGTTAATCAGTTGTAGTCTTACTCTTCTACTTCACTTTTAACCTTTTTATCTGGAAGGTTCTTTTGTGAAGATTCTCTAGTGCATCGTACAGTTGATCTAATCATCACCTAACAACATGGAAATTGCATTCTTGACATCTCCACAATTGACTTATTGAAATTTGTAACGCAGATCAAGTATATGAAGGAGATGTATTTATCAGACCTCAAAGATTTATACGAGAAAATTGCTTATAAAATGCAGCAGGTATGTCATCAACAATTCCTAAGGTGTAAGGCATATTGTATTCGATTGGTTACTGGAAACTCCTCAAACTGGGAACTGATGCAGAAAGCTCAAAACACTAAATTCTCATTTTTGCGTCTTTAATTCGGTTCCGTTCCTGTCAATTGTCATATTGAGAAACAGTGCTGTGGTAGTTGTAATGAGGCTAATTCCTTTCCATTTCTAGCATCTGCATCCTTTGTTTGTGTTGAATTTTTCTGTTAGTTTGTTTTGCTTTCGGGGAAGGAGTTAAGGCTCCATTCTTCAGGTAAGGGCTCGATTTATCTTAATTTAAAAGCACTTGGATCAACATTCCTACGAATTATGTGAACCTTGCGAGCTATGTTATTTGTCTCTTTATGTCATTTCTTAAACTTTACTCCCTTTTTCGTTGCCATGGGAGGTACTTGAAGCATGAACTTCAAAAGTTTGCTGAGGAAAAGAAACAGGACTGTAACTAAACTGATTTTTATTCCTGATTGTTTGCATGACTCTCTTCATCAGCGTCTTGAAAATGAGAAAATTGAAAAGCTCGAGATGTACAAGATAATGCTGGAACGCATTATGCTTTTTTTGCGGCTTAACAAGCAGGAAATTCAACTTATTCACAAGGATAAACTGGTCTCGATTGAGAAGAATATAATTAAGTTTCTCAGTTACAATTTGGCACGCAGCAAGACTTCTTCTCCACAGCAGGGGCAACTTCATCAGTCTTCCATGCAGCTTCAAACTAATCCACCGATGCAGCCCGTACAGGGTTCCGTGGAAGCAATGCAACAGAGTTATCTCAGCGACTTGCACCGTTATTCCTTGTCTGGCGTATCGACAATATCCAATTCTCAACAGCACATGATAGATGTGGTAAAACCTGGTTCCAGATCGGATTTGGGACAGGGTAACTCGTTGAACTCACCGCAGCAGGTGGATACTGGCTCCTTACAACAGAATCCTGTTAACAGTCTTCAACATGATAACATAAGCTCATTCAGTGCACAAGGTGGAATGAACCCTGTACCGGCAAACCTCAAATTCCTACAGAAAAACTCAAACGCGCTGCCTGAGCAGCAAATGTTGCAGAACCAACAATTAACACCGCTGTGCAACCAGCTACTGATGGAGCAACAACTTTTTCAAAGTCAGCAGTTAATGAAACATCAGCAAGCAATGAACTCGCCGCCGCAGAATGATTTCACCAACTTGCACCATGATTCCTTGTCTGGCGTATCGACAAATTCCAACTCTCAGCAAGACATGATAAATACAATACAGCCTGGTTCCAATTTGGATTTTGGACAGGGTAATTCTTTGAACTCACTGCAATAGGTGTCTACTGGTTCTTCGCAACGAAATTATATTAACCGTCGTCGACAAGTTAACATAAGCTCATTAAGTCAACAAAGTGGAACTAACCCAGTGCAGGCAAACTTCGGTTCCCTACAACAAAATTCAAATGTCCTGCAGCAAATGTCGCAGAGCCAGCAAATGTTGCAGAAGGAGCGGCAGGTGCAGCAGTTAATGATGCTGCAGCAAATGGAAATGAAAACCGAAATTTCACAGAAACATCACCTAATACAACAGCAGTCAGATGGCCAGCGTGTTGGATCTCATCAACCACAAATGATGTCAGGAATATCTTCACCTCAACTCCATAAGGCACTATCTCGTCAGGTTACCCAACATCCTTCTTCGCAAATTGACCAACAAAATATCTTGGCATCTCTTTCCAAATCTGGGACGCCTCTCAAATCCACAAGCTCACCATTTGTTGTCCCATCTCCTTCAACTCCCTTGGCTTCATCTCCAATGACGGGGGATTCTGAAAAAGTTAGTGCTGGCGTTGCATCACATAAAATAGCTGGAAACACAATGCATCAGCAAGCTACAGTTCCGATGGAGTTTCAACCCCACACCTCTACTGTGGAATGTATACAGATATCACCAAGTGAGCTAAGCTAACCCTTCAACCCCTATTTATATAGAATAATGAAAATAATATTGCAATTAAAATTGCCACAAGTAATTTGCTGGATATTAGCTAAAGAAACTTTTGCAGAAAATGTATTAATATACCTTGACATATCTAGCGTTCTCCCAAAATTTGCCAGAAATTTTAGTGGTGTAAGTAATCAGGTTCTTTAATATTTGCTCTATCCTCATCTTTTGTGTTATTTGTAGCACCTTTAGATTCTTCAGCTCAGACGGGAAACACAAATGGAGCTGATTGGCAGGAAGAGGTTTACCAAAAGGTATTGTTCGCAATGGTATTTATTTGTTCATGATTTTGAAAACATAGGAAATTAGATGACAAATACTGTTACAATGACTATGCCTCAATCCCAAGCTAGTTGAGATCGGCTATATGAATATCCATGCCGGTCTGTTTAACCTGTAATTCATGGTGGTCTATGATCATGTTATGGAATTTGTACTCTTTGACGTGAGCAGAAATGTGAACCAAGAAGCGAGAGGAAGCAATTTTTTTTCATAATTCACATGTTAATCAACTGTATAGCCTATTCGCCAAGCTTTGGGAGGCCAAAAGTCCTTTTGTTTTAAAAAAAAAAGTGAGGTGTTTGGCCTAGTTTTTGGGAGAAAAAGTGTTTTGGTGGAGTAACAAAAGTTGTTTTTTAGAAGCTAAAAAAGAAGTTTTTCTCTTTTGAAAGAATACACTTTAGAAGCACTTGTTAAAAGCTTGGCCAAACACAAATTGCTGCTCGAAAATGTCTTTAAAATTGATTAGTCAAATACATACGGCTTCTCACCAAAATACTAATTTCTTGAAAAGCATTTTCCAAAATAAGCATATTTTTAGAAGCTTGACCAAACATGCTTGTAGTCTCTTTCTCTTCTACTTCACTTTTAACCTTTTTATTCAAAAGGTTCTTTCATGAAGATTGTCTAGTTTGTTCCCTACTGCATCGTACAATTGATCTAATTATCACATATCCTCATGGGAGATGCAATCTTGATATTTGTGAAATTGATTTCATGAAATTTTGTAACACAGATCAAGTCTATGAAGGAGATGTATTTATCAGAACTCAATGATCTATACTGGAAAACTGCTTCTGAAATGCAGCAGGTTTGTTTTTTTAGCTAAATTTGCATTGATTCCAAGAGCACTTGCGTCCTTCGCTATAATTACTATTGATAAACTAACTCATCTTTTTTTCTACCTTCAATCGTCATAATGTCCCACCTATCAATGCTTTCGGACATCTTCTTTTTTACTATGTTGTTTATTTCTTTATGCCTTTTTCTGAAGTTCCCCTCCCATTTCTCTTGACGGGTACTTAAAGCATGACTATTAAAAATTTGCATAGAGCAAGAAACTGATTAGATTCTGATTTTGAGCATGACTCTCTTCCTCAGCATCCTCAACATGAGAAAATTGAAAAACTCAAGATTTTCAAGATGACGCTGGAACGCATTGTGCTTTTCTTGAGGCTTAACAAGCGTGAGATTCAACTTCCTCACAAGGAAAAACTGTTTTCACTTGAGAAGTACATTACTTTCTTTCTTAGTGGCAAAAGTCCGCACAACCCTACTTCTTCTCCATTGCAGGGGCAACTTCCTTAGCCTTCCATCCATACCAGACAGGTATGCAAGCCGAACTTGTTTGGATAATTCAATTGTTTTTCACCTTGTTGAAGTTGTTTTCCTCTTGTATTAACATGCATCTACATTTCCAGTGAAGTTTTGAATCGGATGAAAGAGTATTTTGATGTCACTTAGAGAAGTTTAAGGAAAGTGTGCCTGAGTCTTAATAAGTAGTTGTGACTCGGTCTAGCTAGGACAGAGCCATTTTTTTTTTTTTTTTGGTGGGGTTGGGGTTGAGAGGGGGGGGGGGGGGTTGATAACTCTGGACTTGTGACTATTTTCCCAGTATAAATCTCTTAAGCTATGAATTATCTAAGATCTTATGTGTTTAAATAGGAAGGTATGGAGGTCAAAGATTTGAGTAGAACGTTAGTGGGGAGTCTAGCTAGTGTTGTCGTAGTTCTAGTGGTATGATTTAGGTAGCTTGTAGTGATTTTTTTTCTCCTATGTGTATTAATATATGTTGCTACACTTGTTTCTTACGTTGCTACTTTGTTCTCTCTTTTTCTTCCTTACTTTTGGTTACATTTCTTTTGAGTCGAGGGTCTATTAGAAACAACCTGACTACGATAAGGTTTGCATACATCCTACCCTTCCCTAATCACACATGTTGAATTACATGACTATGTTATTGTTGATCTCCTTGGTTTCGTTCTAACATTTTTTTGTATGTAAAAAGCTTACAATCTCTCGCAATTTACTCGTGAGTTACTAATCATATGTTGCACGTTATATTCTACGCAGGCACAAGATATATATGCACGTCAGTTGCCTATATTGGATTCCGTTGGGCAAGATATTGCTTCTGAGTTTGATAGACTTCTGCATTTGATTACTTAGATGGTAGTTATAATGGATTGTGTTATGTATGAAATGGTTTCGGTACTTTTGGTATTGATAGATTGAGTTGTAATTTTGATGGATTGAGTTTTGGTACTAAACTTGATGAGCGTTTGAGCACTCGAAGGGGTTGTGTAAAGTACTCGTGAACCAACTTATGCATCCTACCCTAGATTATTTAGAAAGCACTGTAATAGTGCAATTATTCTGATAAATTACTTAAATTTTACGTGGAAACCCCGATTAATGTTTGAAATATTCATCTCCAATTTTTTTCTAATGTTTGAATCTTAACACTCTTACAAACAAAGGTCACATTTCTGCTCGAAAAAAATTATGGCCTCAATAGTGAAATTTAGTTGTGGGATTGTCTTTGCATAATCTAAGATTGTTTTGTTTAACCTATTTATATATTTTAGTCACAATAATTGAGGAACAAAATAAAATGGAGCGAAGAAATTCTTTTTATCGGTATGATTATGTCACAAATCAAAATTTTATTGGTATTGATACACAATAACACACTTTAAAAGATTAGAGATAATACACAAGTACTTTCTCAACCTATGTCTGAAATTCAGAAACACACTTATATTATACTAAGGTCTTATTACCCCTGAACTTGTTTTATTAATAAATTTCGACTCCTTTTCGGTCTACGTGGCACTATCTTGTGGGCTCAACTTGGTTGACTTTTTTTTTCAAGCTAGTGCCATGTAGGTCGAAAAGGGGTAGAAAATTACTTATAAATAAGTTCAGGGGTAATAGGACCTTAGTAAAGTATAAATGTGTCTCTCGGATTTCGGGCATAGGTTGAGGGGGTACTCTTGCATTTTCCCAAAAGATTATGTAAATATACGTGAACTTATGCTCCTCTTCTGAATCATACATTGTGATGTTATATTTTTAAAGAAATATTTAAATATAAATATTTGAATTCACACTCAAAAAATCATATTGCAATGCTATGTTGATCGGATGCACCTCTCCAAGTGAGATTAAAAATTTGAATCTTATATCTATCTTGTCTTAGATTAAAACCTCTCTAAGTGATTATCGGTAGCACTTTATATGTATAAGCTTTGATCTTTCAAAATTTTCAAGTTTGTAAAATTGGAAATTCCTTTTTTTGGCATTGTAATTTTATATAATTAAACCAAATATGTAAATTAAAACTAGCAATACTGGATGATATAACACACAACCAATGGGTTCAGTCCAGTGGCGCAGCCACATATATGGATACCCCTTCCTCGAAAATGTACATCGTGTGGCTGGGTAAAGATATTTTTAATGTGTGTGTATATATATATATATATTACATTACTGACATTCCTTGATGTCTACATGATTTTACTTATTCATATTTTGACACCCCTTCGTTGAAATTTTGACTCCATCACTGATCTAATAGTTTTTATATACACGCGCGCACACACTATTTGAATAGATAAAAATTATTGGATCAGTAATTTAATAATTTTAACGATTTTTAATGTAAGAACTTAAATGTAAAACCGATCAAATATATATACTAGATCAACATTTTCATAATAATACACTCATCATCTCAAAATTCTAAATTTGCCTATAAATTGAATATATGATTTTCGTATAAAGTGTTTTACTGAACTCGTACACGACTAAACTAGTTGTTACATTCATGTTTAATTGTTTGGGATGTGTTTGATGAATTTGGGATGAGATAAGAAAATGAATTGATTTTTAATTTGTATATAATAAAGGAAAAGGGGATAAATATACCCTTAAATTATCGTAAATGATATGTTGATTCTGTTATTGCACGAATTATATACACGACAATACTTAATTTATTACAATTTAATTTATAAATGCATAGAGTTTCTTTTAATTCCCAATCTAAGCATATTTTAACTAGGAAAAAAACATACTCTCCTAGTCCACTTTTATTGTCATGTTGCGCTTTTCGAAAGTTAACTTATCTAATTTTTGAAGTTAAATTAAATTACGTTAATTCAATTTTTTTAAAAAAAATAGATATTTAAAAATTATACAAAAAGTAATATAAATTACAATTTTTACATATCACTATGATAAAAATATTAATCAAAATTCTTATACCTTGATTCTTAAAAAAGAAAGTCATGAAAATTAATTATGGACGGAGAAAATAGTAGTTAATCATAATAAAAATTGTCAACGATCCTCGTCAAAATGCTAATCTCGTTGACTAGTTAATTTTCCCGGTCAGCCACCCCCCTCAAACCCCAATCCCAAAAAATTTAATTTTATTATTTAAAAATACAAACAACTTTAAATTTTTATTTTTTCACTCTTACCCCCTCCCCCTCGCATTACCCCCACCCATACCTCACCCCATAAAATAGTAATTTTGTTTTTAAAAAATATTTTAAATTTAATAAATTATTTTTTACTCTAGTATCAAAAACATTTTTCATTCATAAATCGAACACTATAAATCATTTTCGGAAAATATTTTCTACTCACTTACAAAACATGAGGAAATAATTTCAAACTCTACTTGTTTTTCACGAAAACATTTTTTAGGAAAATATATTTTCCATGAGAAAATACTTTTATCACTATTCAAATCATTTATTTTTTTTTAAATAAAAACTTTTTATATACTACACAATGCTAAAATAAAATCACTATATTAAACATAATTTTTTTTCCCTTAAACTAGCTTAAAACTAGTGAATGGGCCAAGAGATATTGAGTCAATGGCGGCTGGACACGTTGGTAATAGTCAGATATTACTAAAAAAATTTATTACTATGTATGAAATGTATAATATAAAGTCTTTGGGAGTTTTATTTTCTTATTTATACATACACTCAAGAAATCTAGGCGCAATTGTGATTTTTCATCGTTGATCGAAGCCAGAAATTGTGATTATTGATTGTGGATTAAGGAATTTTGGTGTGGAGTTGAAATGGATGGGAATAATTGGAGGGCCGCTCAGGCTCAGGCTCCGGGAGGTGGTGAAGGTGGTGGAGCGGCTGCCGGAGCTATGGAGTCCGGTGATTGGAGGACTCAACTTATGCCCGATTCGCGTCAAAGAATTGTGAATAAGATGTAAGTTTTTTTTTTTTTTTAATTTTTGGTTTTGCGACTTGTTCTTGTTTTTTTTTTTATATTTCTGGAATTTTGAATTTTAGGTTTTTTTTTTTTTGTGTTTTATCGGTTATCTGAAGAAATCCGATTTCGTTAGAAGTATTGATTAATCAATCTGATACATATTTTTTTTCAGTGTCGTTCTGTTTTATGGAAACTTACTTTATTAGGTGAATTTTGGGGGGTTTTTTGTTAATGGTATTGGGTGAGTTAATTGGAATTTTGTGCCCTAGTTATTACCAATTTTGGTAATTAGTCAAGGGGTAACATATGCTTACACTCTGACCCCATGTGTGGGATTACACTAGGTATGTTTTGTTGTTGGGGGTGGGGGTGGTGTTGTGGTGGATCAGTCAAGGAACTAGTTCAAGTGGGAAAACCTAGTTTTACTCACTGTGCTTTATATTTTGTTTTAGATATGTCGAAATGGTTGGCTGTTGTTCGCGATAATTGGATAATAACTACTTATATTTGCTCAGAGGAAATAAGTTTTAGTCTTTTGTAGCAGGGTATGATGTCAAATTATTGTTAATATATTTGAGAAGCATTTATCTAGATTTTGATCTTATCAAGACTTTGTTCTTGATATGTCAAAATGACAGGTTGTCACTGGAGATAATTGGATTATAATTGCTGATATTTGTTTAAAGGAAACAACTTTTATTCTTTCGTAGCAGGGCGTGATGTCGAATTATTTTTAATATATTTGAGAAGTATTTATCTAGATTGTGCTTTTATCAAGAGTTCAGGTTGATCTTTTGTTGATATGATTATATAGAATGGAGACCTTAAAGAGGCATCTTCCTGTTTCTGGGCAAGAAGGAGTACAGGAGCTTAAGAAAATTGCTGTAAGGTTTGAAGAAAAGATCTATTCTGCTGCTACAAGTCAGGTATGTAGTCTAAACTTGTTTCTTATTTGTTCAAATTGTAAAGCTAGCTCATAAACCACCCCTGCCTTTAAAATCCGATATTAGACTTTTGATGCAATTTTGTTTTCAAGACCATATAAGGGAATCACTCATCCCTTTTTCATCCAATGTGTGATTCTTGTTTCAATTTGTTCTCCGAGACCATATATCCTTTTTCATCCGATTTGAGACTCTTGATGCAACTTGTTCTCCAAAACCATACAACCATCCATTTATCTGATGATGGATTCTTCTACATAAATGATTCAATTTGTTCTCCTTATCATTGATGTTATTCCTGCTTGTATAAACTTGCATCTAGACACGTTGTATTAGGGATGGCAAGAGGACCAGGTACAGTGCGGTTGCAGGCCAAATCCGCATAATCCTGCGAAGATTTTGACCCCCCACCCATATCATTATGTTTATGTTGATTTTCGTACTCCTAAAGGAAAACATGAATTACCATTTTAGCAATTTTACCAAGACATGGCTGACATTAAAAATAATAATTGGATATTCTTATATTTGCTCTCATCAAGGTTCTTATAACAGGGAAATGGAAGGGCCTGATAGTATATATCAGTTCATCTTAAGCATGTGATTTGTAAATCTTATTTAATTGGTAATTTGTTTAAGTAAAATTACCTATTACAGTGATGTCACAAACAAAAAAAGGGTTAATTCTGCATATTGACATGTTTTTCTCACACGTAAATATTATAGTATCATATTAATTATTATTCCCCAAGAGTGCTCACTATATATATATATATATATATATATATATATATATATATTTTGATAACCGAGAAATCCGTCTGTGACCCGCCACCCTTTGGACCAATCACAGTCTTCTAAACTAGGTGAATAATGGGCCTGGAGAAATCCGTCTGTGACCCGCCACACTTTTGACCAATCACAGTCTTCTAAACTAGGTGAATAATGGGCCTAGAGAAATCCGTCTGTGACCCGCCACCCTTTGGACCAATCACAGTCTTCTAAACTCGGTGGATAATGGGCCCGGCCCTCTACCCTTCTCCACTTAAATACTTAGCGTCGCTTTGCAAGTTTGCATGGTGGGGCTTGAACCTGCAACCTAAGTTACAAATCCTCCACCTTTTGCCGCTTGAGCTAGGCCTTGGGGGCAGTGCTCACTATATATTTGTCAACGCAAAATGGATAGTAATAAGTTATATGGAATTAAATAAAATAATTTCATATTTGAGTAACCGACATAGATTCACAAAATCTACTTTTACACTAATTTTTATACTGACTACCACAAAAAAATAATTTAGATCTAATTTGAATGTCTTTGCATGCCTAAGCAACCTCCACAAAGTAGGTTTAAGGTTTGTGTAAACTCCATCCTCCCCACTCTATCCTCCCAGATCTGGTTGCACGCCTAAGGAAAGAACTTAATTTCTTTTTTTGTTCTTGTTCAAATCGCTGCTTGGAGATTCTTTACTTCAGTAGAGGCCTGAAGGTTTATCGAAAACAATCTCTCTATCTTTATGAGGTAGTGGTAAGGTCTTTGTACATTCCTCACCCTCCCCAGACTCACTTGTAGGAGTTACACTGGATACGTTGTTGTTTAAACCCCCTTCATAGTTCTGCAACCCGCCTTA